GACAAAGAGGGAAAGTCGGGCGCGGAGTTAGCAATCTCACCACGCAAAAAAATCTAGTTCTACCGAAAATTCAAAGTCTAAGCTTGAAGCCCTATGCTCTACTCAGAACACAAAGAAGTAAAATAAATAAATAAATAATAGGTAAAATAAGATTCGTCAGTCGACAATGTACACCTGCGTGACAGTGAGTGGTGTTTCAGCATTGAAGCGCATCTGATCGCTTTGAAACACTTCAGTTTTATCCACTAGGAGTGTGCCATCTCTTTTTGCTACAATAGGTAGTAGTGGTCATTACCAAATAAGTAACTTTGAGTTAAACACTAGTCCTGGTAATTAATTTTGGAGACATTCGTTCATGTGTGCGACTAATCAAATTCAGTTCAGATCTATCAATAGGAAATTACAACTGGTGAAGAGTCCCAAACACTAGGACAAAACAGCTATCCAGTACTCCACTGCTGGGTTTCCAATGTTTCCTCAAAGCGATATCAGCTCATGATGAAATCCTGGAACCAATCAAATCAAATCCCTGCAAACCAACACTTGAATATCAATAATCATGTTCACTAGCGACTGGCCCTATTCAGGAAGGGGGTTACCTGGGGTTCTAGTGTGAAGTCGTGACCAGTGGGGTGTAGCAGGTTGGGTGTGAAGATGAATACTCGCCGAAGACATTAGCTAGTGGTCGGGCTATATCGTGAATTGTCTAAAGGTAGAATTGATGGACTAGCCATTAGATTGTGTCCCGATGACCTAATAGTTTACGAGCTCACTCGCACGCCTTGTGACTAGAAGATCCTAGGTTCAAACCTCCTGATGAGAAGTCTCCAACCAGGACGAGACAACTGTCCAGTACCCCTAGGTCCTCGAATCAATATCAGCTGATGATGAAATCATCCTCTAACCAATCAAATCCGTGTAAACCAACACTTAAATACGAATCTATTGGAAAAATGTTTTATTGAAAAAAACTGATAAAAGCTTACTGTTTTTGCCTCCTTCTTATAGGTAGAGAGAGATGTGCGCGAATGACTGACATTTAAAAATATTATATATATATAACATCAGAGTTCTTCATTTAGTGCAGTACAAACGTGAACAGATGATTTCAGTGTGTGTGTGTTTGTATGTATTCTGAAGTAATACAGACTTCTGTCCTATTCTTTTCAAGTCATCAGTTATTAGTTCCTCGGTGTAAATATGATAATTAACATTGTTATTTAAAGGACGTAGGCTACTCTTCATCATTTTGTTATTTCTTATTTGCGTGTGTGTGTGGGTGTGTGCAAGTGCGTGTGTCACACGCTGTAACACGTGTCATATTGTCTTAACGCCATCCTTTTGCACTTCTTTACCTCGTGTGTGTGTATGTGTGCGTGCTTGTATGTGTGTGTAACAATGGTTATGCTATTTCTATAACCTAATTGCCATATTCTTTCTTTCTTTTTCATACAAGCTAATTATTTATTTATTTACAGGCTTCCTTTTTCTAGATTTTATTTATGATCCTTTGACATGGATAAATTATTTGCTACATAAAGGAGTTATATATGTCTGCTCGTCGGCGATTGTTATTATTATTATCATTGCTCCCTTGGGTTCCGAGTGGGACATAAAGCTTCAACACCAAACTCCACTCTGTCCTCTTCTCCGTAGTCTTCCTCAGTCGGGCCCATGATCGCTCATAATCTCTGATCTCCTCCATATCATCCTCATTGTTTCCCATTCGCGTTCTACTTAAACAATGACCAGGCGCGCAATGTCAGTCGACAGTTTCCTTAGTGTATGTGTCCGATTTATCTCCATTTTCAATGGAATATTTGTTGAGAGATAGCTTCTTCCTTTTTTGTTCTTTCTGGCCGACCGTCTGACCTTCATTATGGAACCAGCGAAAAGTCTGTGGCAACCTGTTGGAAATACGGGAACTCCAAGTTTCTGATCTATACAGAAGAATAGACTAAGTTAACATTTGTGTTGAAAATCCAAATCTGGTTCTTTAATACAGTTGTCTAATACTCCCCGTGGCTGGTTTTCCAATGGTTCTCTAGCTGATTTCAGTTCATGATGAAATCTTCCAAACAATTAAACAAAATCGCTACAAAAGCAATACTTAAAGAAGAAATCTGTACTGATTTTAGTGTGATAAAGAGGTGTACACTGCCTTTCCGATTCTGTCTTTGACATCGTCATCCATTCCGCTTGTAGTTGACGAAACTGTGTCACCTGCTGAGATAAGTGAAGGAATTAACCTCTTTCAAATTTCCTACGACGCTGAAAAGTACCGTTCGTTGTCGGACTACCGAAATCAAGCAGCACTGATTGGACGCAGTTAGTACTGCCTTGGCTCACTGGCTGTTGCCTTTATTGATATAAGTATAAAACTTCAAATATTGTGGTAAGGTATAACTCCATGATAGATAAGATTTTATTTTTGATAAATCACACAGTGTTTGTTATACAGTAATATCAACTGATGAACACGTTTCAAGCACAAACTATTGCCACTCATAATCATATCAAGTCGTCACTCATCCACACAACTTTTTACTTCATTTATATACATGAGTGGAATTGATGATTAGACATTTGAATAAAAATCAGTATGGGATAATGTACATTCAGAAATAATAATATGAGTGTTATCAATCAAATACAATCAGAACATATCTCTATCTTATTGATGCATATAAACTCACTAGCAAAAGGAATAAAATTCACATTTTAATCGGAAAATGAACACTTAACTATGTTTGATTGCAAAATAAAACGAATAGAAGAAGGTAAACTTCACACTAGCGTTTACAAAAAAAACCCAACGCCTTCTGGTAATTCATCTCATCCGTTGTCTGTAAAAGTAGGCGTGGTTAAATGTCTAACAAACCGAGCAGTAACACTAAGTGGTAAAAAAGACCCAAATGATGAAATAAAACAGATAGAAGAATGGCTGGTTGGTGTTAAGTAACTATCCTATAAAATTGATTCGGAAGATTGGAAAAGGTGAAAAGCAAAATAAGAATAATCAGGAAACTAATAATGATTATATATATATATGAGAGAGAATATAAGGCGTCTACTATTATACCATATAAGGAGGGGACATCTGAGATCCTACGTAGGATTCTTAATGAAACAGGTAGGACAAGCTCTGTAGGTTAAAGGACCCAGTTGACCCAATTACACAAAATCATGTAATTTACAAAATACCTTGCAATGCTTGTGAGTTCAACTACATAGGTCAAATTAGTAGATCGGAAGTAGTGAGATTATCAGAACATAAGAATTTAGCTAAGGTTAGAATGATTGATCCCACTCGTGAAGATAAGTAATTTAGAAAAAAGCTCAGCAATCGCACTGCATGCATTAACACACAACCACACAATAGGGTGGGAGAGGGTTAAAATTCTAAAAAGTAATATAGGTAGGGGGAGACCGAGAGAGGTTGATTACTGAATCCTGGTTCATCGAGTCTACACCCAACACATGCAACAGAAATGACTCAGTACAAATACGAGAGATATAGAAGATATTACTGCCACCAGTCAGTCAAATCAGAGGAGGATTACAAATAATCTTGAAATTCTATTTTAATTCACGAACATCATAACATTCCAGCAAGTTAATCATTTTTTAACCATCTGATTGTAATTGATCAATAACACTCATATTATTATTTCTGAATGTACATTATCCCATACTGATTTTTATTCAAATGTCTAATCATCAATTCCACTCATGTATATAAATGAAGTAAAAAGTTGTGTGGATGAGTGACGACTTGATATGATTATGAGTGGCAATAGTTTGTGCTTGAAACGTGTTCATCAGTTGATATTACTGTATAACAAACACTGTGTGATTTATCAAAAATAAAATCTTATGGTGTTGCCTTTTTCTTTGTGCATCAGGGATTCAGCGGTGTGCATTATGCTCGCCAACCACTCGCACAGTCTAGCGTTCGATCCTGCACTATCGACATCGTTAGTTAGTCAAGTAAAGAAAGAACTTTGAGCAACCCCACCCTCCCCGTAAAAACCATATCACCGCTAATGAATTTTCGAAGCCTGACGTTTGGTTCCTCGTGTGTTCAACTCGGCGGAACGCAAAGGATTAAAGTAAATTAAGATTGTTCATCACCGACTGATAGTTGAGCAAAACAAAGCAGCTGTTCTATAATTGTAAATCTCTGTCATAGTTTATATTCTGGTCGAAGATGTTGAATCCGGCCTATTATATTATATAATAACCCTTATTCTAGATATGTAGAGCATGGGTAGAGTGTGCCTGTGTACTTTGTTTTTTTGGCTTGTCATAGTTGTAGTATGTAGTAGTAATAATAGCGTGTGTGTGTGGGGGGGGTTATGCATTGTAGTTTCTAAATAGGTTGTGTAACAGATTACATCATTACTAATAGTGTGTTTATCTTATGAACTGTACTACTGTAACCAATATTGTATGTGTTTCTTTTGTGTATATGACGCACCAATTTATACGTTTGTGTTTGTTTTTTCCTGAAGTGTGTCTAATCGAATCTCCAATGTTAAATGATCCGGATAAAAAGAACAACTCATTATCTGTGATCTGATCTATTCACGCTACACAAAATCCCATCGTTTATGCGAAGGATGGAGTATGCTACTCAAGCGCCTAGATTGAAGCAGGTGGTTCGATTGTCCTACCTACCTGACCAATTTCCGATTTTTTTTGTTTTGACTAAATGTCAGAGATCCACAAGACAATGATGGTGCTGTGTCCTCCATAGTCGCACGTGACCGAAACAGGTTGACACGTTATTTGTGATCTATTCAGATTTTGAAGTTCATGTAGGTAGGGGTGGACTAACATGTGTACACCAGTCGGCGGCATTTAAGCGTGAAACATTCGCATTCATCTTTTCATTTCTGTGGTACTGCTTCAAAGCAATGAACACAGGGCTTATTCATCAGTATTTTAATTTATTTTTTGAACTAATTATGCTATTGATGTACTTTTTTAAATTGTAGAATTCTAATGCTACAGCATCTTCTGCCTCCTGAAGCAATACAAGAGATTCGTCAAATATGGCAAGAGATGAATGCACATAACAACAATAAATCAGACACTGACGTTCCAATGACTTCTTCAAAATCATCATCATCATCATCAAATCAATTGACAAATGCTGGTGCTGGTGCTGCTTCTGTTTTTGGCGGCGGCGGTGGTGGTGGTGGTGCAAGTCCTAATCATCATCATAATTCATTAAATCTACGTGAACATTTTGCTCGTCGTGTACGACAAGTGGTTAGACAGTATCTTGGGCCTAAAGCATTTGTTGCAGACAATTTAAGTGAAACCGATTCATCCTGTATGAAGACAACAAAAACTGCTGCTGCTGCTGGTGGTGGTGGTGGTGGTGATAATAAGAGTCAACAACCGTTGACATTTTTATCTAATAATGAATTACATCGTGAGTTGTTCATTTGTTTATCGACATTTAGTTTAATTTAAAAGCATACAGGTGGATAAGTTACCCTTTTAGTTTGAATGAAAAACAAAACAACAAAACACGTCCTTCAGTGAAGAGTTTCTTTTCGGCAGCGAATTCATTTACCTCTTCAGCTTTACACTAGCTGATTATTGACTGGTTTCAGCGTAGAACTACTTTGCACAGTTGTACAGCAGTTCGAGTCACCACACTTCATTTAGCACACAAAGCAAAAGAAGAAAGTAAACAGAAATGCGAAATAGAGACAGTAAACAGAGACATGAGGCAAAAAGAATAGTAATATCAAAGATCAATATAGTTTTATTAGGTATTATAAGTCACAAGGAGGGAATGCATCTGCGCCAGCCATTAAGAATGAGAATTTTGAGCTAGCCATATCACTGATTGCCTCCAGTGGTCGTTTGTTTTTACCGTTCCGAGGACCACAACCAGTCAGCCAGCCAGCCTACACCTCCCTACGTGACTGACTGGTTTAAAGTAACTGTTGTGGATTTCATTGACTGATGAGTCGATGTTTTGGTTTGACCACCACTAATAGTTCTTTTCTAACCTGATCAATACTATGTCAGTCAGCTAACATTGCCCGTTGTCAAGGAAATCGATGTCTTGGCAAATATAACACATATCCTAATGATCTCAATCGATGCAGCTGTTTCATAACGTCGTCGATTGATTTCCCCTCCTTATTTAGCATTCGAACGGAGCATAACCTCAGTATTGCTCATCCTATCATACCGCTTCACATATGAGATAGAACGTTGACACCTATGACCAAAGACAGCTAATCAACCGGGCTTTTCATGTCTTCCACTTTTAATGATCCACTTTCACAATGACCCAACAAGCTATACTGGTCTGAACTATTTTGGTCCTGTAGGTCCTACCATGCCGCGAAGGTTGTTAGGATAGTGATTAGACTAAAAGCAGTTATCGCCATTGTGTAAGAATTCTTTTTACAATATGCTGGGGTCTGTGGGTCTGTCAGCCGGCTGGTTGACCAGAAAGAATTAGTAACAATAAACTCTGTAGTGGAACAAAGCAACCAAGAGCTGATTGCTCAACAAATATGTTTGAGAAAATGGAGATGGATGGATCGGACATACGTTGAGAAGGAGGCCATCGAATGACATCGCGCTCAATGCAGGTCATTTTTCGTGTGGAATCCCATTGGGAAGTGATGATTGGGTCGTCGGTGCGAGTTTGGTATGACGGGGATCGTGTGGTGAGAAGGAGTAGGAGGAGATGACAGATTATGGGCACTTGTGTGACTAGGCAGCTGAAGAGGACAGCAGAAAATATAAGGAATTGGAAATGTGTTGTTGAAGCCGTATGTTACACTCGAAACCCAAGGGACTGATGGTGCGTATTTGTGTATACGGGATAATTGTTATATTCTAGAGATAATGAGTTATGTTGATATCATCCTTGCATACCATTTAAAAAAAAAACTAAAATGGTCAGATTGTTTTTAATTATTTATATGGATTGAGTCAACTGTCGTCTTTTAGATAATGATGTCCTTATTTTCTGTATAGAAGCTGTTTTGGTCACGACTTTGTGCGATTTTGGATCCTTCTATCACAATATTTTGAATTAATTGGCTATTTATATGAGAATAGCTCTTAAATATGTGAAATTTATGTAAGAGAATAGCCACCAATTTATGATGACTGCCTTGTTTTTATTATTTTGCTTTATTTCGCATTTTGTTTTTTGTTTTTGTAGAAGAACGTCGAACGACAAGTCCTGTAGTCATTGACGGTAGGGATAATAATAGTAATAATCTAACTTCGGTTGCCTCAGTCACTTCTTCCTCGACGCCAACGCCTACGATAGCTACTTTATCTTCGCGTATATCGACTGCATTGTGCAGTAGTAGTATTAATCCTAACAATAATAATAACAACAACAACACAACATCCCCTGGGATTCTTTCATCACCATCGTCAACAATGTCATCATTATCACAGTCAAAATGGAATCAAAACAGTCCTACAGACAGTGGTGGTACTGGTAGTTCAAATATCGCCAGTGGTACAATACAAATAGCATCATCTACTGTTATTTCTCCTAATACTACAACAACACCAACAACAACAGCTGCTATTACTACAATGAATGATGTCCCTATGGTAAGTAGTGAATAGTTTGTATAGTCATTGTCATTCACTTATTGGCTGATTGATTTAAACACTTGGTTTTATTTTTTTTAGTCTCTTCCGATTAAATTCAGTCTTAACCATAAAATATCAGTTATTGTTCCAATTTCGTTAAACAATAATTGTTCACAGTTTGGTATATTATTCATTTATTTATCTTATTCCTTTACGTTCCAAGTGGAACATCATAGGTCATCAAACTTAGAGCTATGAAGCTTCGATAGGAGCGGTGTAATTTTTACAAAATGAGCTTACACTCAACCTTCACCCCTTTTCTGGCCAGGTGTAGTTGTGTGTCGGCGGCCGGGGATTGAACTTTGGAACACATAAGCCGTGGAAGTTTGGGCTGTTGTTACTTCCCGACTGCCCATGCCTTGGAAGTTGGTTGATTCTTCGGGTACCTGAAACAGAAAGAGAGTTAGTGTTGTGTGACCGCAGAGCCCAGGGGACAACTACTTGAAGGCAGGCCATACATGGCCTAACTGATGAACTGGTTTCTTGGTTTGGTTTCGTATTAGTAAACGGACCACCGTGGAAAAAGTCGAGATGTACAATTGTTAGGATTGATCTTTTCTAACCCCCTCTCTCCGGAGTGGAGAGACAGCATAGCTTGCTGGCATGCTGGTCATCTGAGGAAAACACCCTACTGCTGTTACACCCCTATGCTCTAGCAGTACGACTCCGCCCACAGACCCCCAGCATATTGTAAAAAGGATTCTTACACAATGGTGGTAACTGCTTTTAGTCTAATCGCTATCTTAACAACCTTCGTGGCATGGTAGGACCTACAGTAGGAACATTAGTTCCAACCAGTGTAGCTTGTTGGATCATTGCAATGTGCAAGCCCAACCACTGAGATCCTTGTTCGCCTGTACACACATGGCTAAGATAATCCGCTCCATTGTAGTGGAAATAACTGGTGTAGTTCAGTTAAGCAGATCTATTGACTACCTTTTGTTATTGTATTCTAAACACTGAAAACCAGTCAGACAGACTGTAATGGGTTGTTTTTGTTTGTTTGTTTGTTTGTGTACTATGATGATTATATGCCTGTAACACTGTTTATCAGTTGAATTCTGCTTCATTTAACATACTGCTACTGCTTTATTGAGTCCTCAATATCATATGGTGGTTGATTCACATGTGATGATGAAGAAATATGTTAAAGGATTTGAAATTCACGATAAAGCATGCATAAATTAAAATTGAATTATATTACTTATTGTGTAGTCAAGTAGAACACTTTCCTTACCCTCCGGGCATTCTGTTACTGTGGATCCAGTGTGTCTCTCTCTGTGTGTGTGTGTGTGTGTGTTTGTGTGTAAATAGTGAAACATTGTGGGTGTATATGTTCGTTTTTATTCCATATTCATTTACCTTTTGAATATATCACACAATTTTTTTTGGTTTTTTATACCTTCACGTTCCCAGTGGAAAATAGGGCTTCAAGCTAGAGGCTTGAAGTTTCTGTAGCAGTGTTTATTTATTTACAGGATGGGGTTGCTAGCCTCATGCCCAACCTTTCCTCTTTACCAGCTTAATTTCTGGTTTAGCGAGGTAAAGGAGTGCGTCCGTGGCCGGGATTCGAACCCCGGGCCATGTGCATGGTCGGCGAGTGTCCTAACCGCTGTGCCACCGAAACAGGATTATTACCAAGTGTTGGTTTGCAGGAATTTAATTGGTTAAAATTTTCATCATCAATTGACTTCTGGTTAAAATAGGAATCATTGAAAAAACCTGAGCATACCTACTGGTTTGAGAAGTGGTTCACCAAGTCAGGTAAGAGATCAGTGTTACTCGCCTATAACATTGACTGGCGGGTTACGCCGTAGAAGTTGGAAGCTGGTCATTAGAATAGGAGTTTCTCAGCGGTTGAATGACTTACGAGCTTACCTTGTAGCCCTGAAATTCTGGGTTCAAAAACCCGATGGGTGTGTGCTGATGACGAGACCCGAAGAAGGAGAAAGAAGCAGCAGCAACTATCCAGTACTGTCTACTAGTTTTCCAATGATTCTTTAACTGATGTCAACATGTGATCGATCAAGTTTGAAATAGTATTTATTATATTGATGACATTTCGAACACTCATTTTGTATTGTTCGTAAACTAGAGTTGACTTGATTTTATTGAGATCCAAATACATAAAAGGCTTACTATAATGGAATATAATGATGACTGACTGTATAAGAAGTTGATAAGTCATTCCAGGATACACTAGAATTTATGTGTGATGAATTAGTATTTCGGTGTATTGATTCTAATGTGATATGAGTAGGCCTAGCAACATGTTGTTGTTGTTAACATCCTGTTTACATTAGATGGTATGTGAAAAGCGTAAAAAGCTACGCTGACGACTTACACACATATGTACTATGACGTACAATAATAATAACAACTTTGGTAACTCTATTACATGGAGTAAGCCTGTTCTGGTGTACTTAAGTGAACTATCAGATTTCGAATTAAGTATTTCTGTTTAATCTGTTTGCTTTTACGAGTTGATCACGGATTGATATTGGTTAGAAAACCATTGAAAACCAGCCACAGGGAGTACGGGACAGCTGTTTCATCCTAGTTTGAGAATCATCGCCAGTACGCACCCACCACCAGGCTTCGAACCCGGTTACAAGGCGGGTTTGTATGTCATTCAGCCACTGGGACTCGATTCACTGGCCAGCTCATGAATTCCAACTTCTGCCGATTCGTGATTTAGCGCGACCCCACCTACGACAATGGTTGGCGTCGCGCTAAAACTAGGATGAAACAGCTGTCCAGTAGTCCATTGCTGGTTTTCAATGGTTTTCTAACTGATATCAATCCGTGATCAACTCGCAAAAACAAAACAAACCCTTACAAACCAAACTATAGAATATTAATCTGTTTGTCTAAGAAACTAACACTATCTACCGCTTATAAAGAAAGAAAAAAAGTACTACCGCTATAGAAACTTCAAAGCTGAAACTTGAAGCGGTGATTGTCCCCCCCCCCCACACACTTGGAATATGAAAGAATGATTCTCAAACGATATGATTATATGAAACAGTAAATTTTAGTCTAAACTATAGCAGGCCAAAACGAAAGTACTTAGTGTGAAAGGATTAATGACCCCTTGAGCTTCCAGTCAAATGAGACCGTAGTGTATATAGGTGGAATGCTGGATACTGTACACGAATAATGCAGTGAATTTCATTCAATTCTAGTATTTTAAGTACTGCTTAGACAACAGGCTCATGGGAAGAGCGAAAACGTGTAACCAGCTGTCATCCTTGGGCTATATGCATAGCGTCGTGGTCAATATAATGGACGATTCTTTCAGTCCTTACGATGGGATCCACACAAATTCCACCGAAAGTTTCTATAGGCATCTGAAAAAGAGGATCAGAGGGGTGAATAATGAGTGGGTCAAGAAACACGATGATTTGCAGTTAGCTCGACAACTTTATGGATTGGTTCCCAGTGGCTGAATGGTACATGGGCTTGCCTTGTAACCGGAAGGTCCTGGGTTCGAACCCTGGTGGTGGGTGCGTACTGCCAGTGATTCCCAAACTAGGATGAAATAACTGTCCAGTACTCCCTGTGGCTGGTTTTCAATGCTTTTCTAACTGAAATCAATCCGTGGTCAAACTCGTATAAACTTTATGCACAGAAATCGGTTTAACCTAACTATGAGGATTTCTATGAGGAATTGGGAGGTTTTTTTGAAACATATACAGGAAGGTTATCCTATGAAACTACTTTTTAACGTTACATTACTTTTATATAAAAGTTTTTTTTCAAATTACGCACTTCTGCTTCAGACACTCATGATTGGTCGATAGAGATTTGTCAAGGTCTCTATTAGGGGTAGTTTCGTTTTAGGCTGCTTGTAGTCTAGAGTCACCCGAAAGATCATGCGTAATCAGACTTACAGACCAATCAGATCCCTACAAATGAATCTAATGTACATTAGCGACTGAATACAGCGCGAAACTACCTGAAGTTCTCGTGAAAAGTCGTGATCAGTGAGGGTGATGTAGGAGGGGTGTCCATCAGGTCTGGTGTGAGCACATATAGTTGCCTGTGCTATTTACTGGCTGGCAGTAGTGATAAGTTAGGACGAACGGATCAGTGGATTCCATCCGAGTGACTGAATGGTCAACGATTTTGTCTCTATCCTCGGCATTGGAATCAAACGGTGTGTACTGTTGAAGAGTCAATCAGGCAGTGGCACAAATGTCTAGTATTCCATGCCGGCTTTCAAAAGTTGTCTAAACTGATATCATGTGTTGTTGGTGTACATATGTTGGGACTAATTATTGATTTTCTTCCGTATATAATTAAATCTTCCTACCTACCTACCTACCTCTCTCTATCTCTCTAAATGTCATATTTCCTACTGACTTTGTGTTATGGGAGGGGATAAATTTATGTTACATAGTATACTGTTATTATAAGAATTTATGTTTAAAGAGTTCTCACCCTGTGTGTTTACAAATATCTTGGGAAATAAATTATGTTAAAATTAAATTTGCTTCTCTCTCTGTAAATGAAAAGAAGAATTCTCATCACATGATATAGTTGGAGAAAAAAATATACGCCTTTTTGTGATATCTCTGGTACCAATTCTGCTTCGGTGCTCTGTACACAATGTATAATGATCGACTGACTGACTGGTTTCAACATAGAACTACTTTGTACTGATATGCACCAGTTCAAATCGCCACAATCCCTCCTTCTAACACACAGAGCCAGAGGAGAGAGTAAACACAAATTCAAAAGAGATAAGAAACAGAAGTGTGAGTGAAGGAAAAAGAATAGTAATATAGAAGAACAATACAGTTTTATTGAATATGAGAACGAGGATTTTGAACCACATCACCAATTTTCTCCAACCGCCATTGGTTCTTACCATCTCAAGGAATCCAACCAGCAAGCCAGCCAGTCTACACCTCCCTACGTCGCTAGCTGGCTGGTTGGCTGGTTTAAACTAACTGTTGTGGATTTCATTCACTGATGAAACCATGTTTTCACTTGACCATCACCACCACCGCCATCAGCTCTTTTCCAGTCTGATCAATATTATGTAAGTCAGCTGATATTGCCCGTTGTCGAGGAAGGCGATCGATAGCTAGGCAACCATGCATAACACATGTCCCAAACCATATCACTCTATAGATGCAGCTACTTCACAACCTCTACGTACAATTGATTTCCCCTCCTTATCTAGCACTCCACCGAAGTCTAACCTCAATATAACTCACCCTATTACATCCCTACTACCACCTATCACGAGAGACAGAACACAGACACATGGGCTCAAAGACGGACAACCAGTCAGTCTTTTTATATCTTCCTTTGTTTCAATGATCATACATCTTACAGCCGTAAAAGGAGGACGGAAAGAACTGCTGGTGTGCAGTACACGTCCTATGATGTTAGAGAGGATGTAAGTTGACAAACGCCAAACGAGTCTAGTGTTCTGAGATTTTTGTCAGCGATCAACTCTCTGGGGCTAGCTTATACGCAGTCGGCCAAATAAGTGAATTGGTCAACACTCTCAGTCACCACTTCACTGCTGCTTATCTTTAAGCTAGGAGTCGATGTAGTCGAGTCCTGCAGCATCAATCCTACATTTGACAGCAGGAGCGAATCGTATGTCAAACACTCTAAGATTTCTTTCTGACCAAGGTGTTCAGAAGAATCTGCTTAATTTTCTCAGAGTCTTCACCTAATTTACTCAAAAAAAGTAATAATATAGAGTATACGTAACAGGAATTGATAATGTCAGCTTTTTTGATATTAGCAGTAAATAATAAAGTAAAAAAATTACAAAAAGTGTAAAATAATACTGAAGATAATAATGTTAATAATTGAAATTATAAGTTAATTGAAATAATATCACCATAAACTGCAAATAGGAGAAGATCAAAGGATCAATTATTATTTTACTAATTACGTGGGAAGTTGTATTGTTTCACGCTTAGCACCATCTCTATCACATAGAAGTCGGGCAGACCAAATGGAGCATCGCTGAGTATTTCTACTAGGTTGTGACAGCATATATTCTTTGATAGAGTGACTCCTAGGTCTACCTGATGAGATAGAAGGTGGAGGGAGAGAGAGGGGTTTGAGAGTCAGACAATACGGATTTAACCTATTTCTCCCATGAATTGAAATGTCTGTTGGCTACAGTGGTACCAAATGGACTCTCGCCGGCTATGCACATGGTCCGGGGTTCAATCCCCTGCCGGAGTACACCTGATATCAATGGTTGGCCAGTAAAATTTGGGCTACCGATATCACATGCTGAAAATTCCATACTTGTACCAAAAATACGGTGTGGAATCAAGCTATAATCAAAATTAAATTAGTAGCGACACACCACTTGCCCCTACTAACAACCTCTAATACCTTTTAGAATATGACAGTACTTTTTAAGTAGTCCAGGAAAGACGTTGAAGAGGGGGGGGGGAGGAATATAAAGCAATAGGTAAAAGTAGAGATTTACTGATACCCTAATGTAGATGGTGGTTAGACGGAACACTTTCTTAGAAATCGATAAGATATAGGACAGACAATCAATAAAAGTGAGAAGAAAGAACTATCCCAAGCTGTTTAGTGCTTGACTTACTTTCTATTTTAGTACCGTCTCTACTGCAAACAAACATCTTGTGAGTGGTTCAGTTTGTGTAGACGACGATTTTGTTTTTTTGCCTGAAGGTGAAGTTAACTGTCTCTGACATTCGAGATCTAATGAATTCGTGATTGGAAATTTACACACCCGCAAACACACACACACACACACGGTTTGAGATGAAATTTCACCAGAAATCGGAACTATTCAGATCACTACTACTTATTTCAGCTAATCAGTAGTAGTAGTATGTTATGGTGAAGTGATGCGTCGTTACCCGCACTTCTTATTATTTTTTTAAAAAGAAAAATATATTTTTATTGTTATTTTGTTTTCGTTCCATTATTTCTAGTTAAAATCTATTTTCTTCTTTTCTTTTTTAAAAAAAAATATACTGAACAGATTGAAAAATTATCGCCGCCTTGTTCACGTGTAAACAAATTATCTCCTCTGTCTGCACGTACAAATAAAATAACAGAAGAAGAAAAACAATCCTTAGCAAACCCGAATCATTTCAATGAGACATCATATAATCCTAATACTACTACTAATAATAGTAGTAATAATGAATCTATTGATAATTGTGATTTATCCAAACTATCGAATTCATCACAATGTTGTATGCTTGAATGGTTATTATCTGAAGAGGCTGATCTGTGCATTTTACCACCGTCATTGTGTCAATCGAAAGATGCTGATAAACTACAACAACAACAACAACAAACATCTTCTGGAATCTCTCCATTACCTTCATCAGTTTACAATTCGTCGATTTCACCATTGAATAGTGCTGGCTGGTGGTAACAATTCCAGTCATGCACAAACTCTACATTCACATTCATCTACAATTAGTACAACAACAGGAATAATAACTCTGTCGACGGCAACACCAACGCCGACAGAGATTACCTGTAGTCCAAGTGGATCTACATCAAGTCATACAAAAATCAATACTACTGCTACTACTACTACAACTGATGTACAACAATTGAATCGTCAATTATCAGTGAATAATGCTGCTAATAATTCATCATTAATTACAACAGCTACAATTACCACTAATAATAATAATAATAATAATAATACAGTTGTTAATACTACTTGTAGTAGTGCTACAACTCTTACTCCTCCTTCTACTACTAATCTGTTGTCTAATTCAACAGTAAATCCAACCTTTAATGAAATACGACGTTCTTCTCCTCAACCAAGAAGTGAAAGTCTATTGGTGGTAGGTTTATACTTTTTCTTTTTATAACTGACGTATTTTTTTTTGTTAGTTCTCTACATTCTCCTTTTATGGCTGTAAGATATAGGATCATTGAAAGTGGAAGGCATAAAAAGACTGACTGATTGTCCGTCTTTGAGTTCATGTGTCTGTGTTCTGTCTCCCGTGATAGGTGGTAGTAGGGATGTAATAGGGTGAGTTATATTGAGGTTAGACTTCTGTCGAGTGCTAGGTAAGGAGGGTTGTGAAGTAGCTGCATCTACTGAATGATATGTTTGGGACATTTGTTATGCATGGTTGCCTAGCTATCGATCGCCTTCCTCGACAACGGGCAATATCAGCTGACTGACATAGTATTGATCAGACTGGAAAAGGGCTGATGGCGGTGGTGGTGATGGTCAAGTGAAAACATGGTTTCATCAGTGAATGAAATCCACAACAGTTAGTTTAAACCAGCCAACCAGCAGGCCAGCGACGTAGAGAGGTGTAGACTGGCTGGCTGGTTGGGTTCCTTGGAATGGTAAGAACCAATGGCGGTTGGAGACAATTGGTGATGTGGGTCGAAATCGTTTTCAATGGCAGGCACAGATGCATTCACTCTTTGTGATTTATCATATTCAATAAAACTCAATTGTTCTTTCATATTGCTATTCTTTTTCCTTCACTCACACTTCTGTTTCTTATCTCTCTTTTGAATTTGTGTTAACTCTCTCTTCTGGTTCTGTGTGTGAGGAGGGATTGTGTCAAGTTGAACTGGTGTACATCTGTGCAAAGTTCTACGCCGAAAGCAGTTAGTCAGTCAGTCATTTTATCGCTCTTACGTATTGTTGATTATTCTGATGATAATAAGTAAGTAGGGCAGTTCTAGTTTAGTTTTGTTCCATTTCAAGGATGGTGTAGGTGCGAAGCTTTCTTTTTTATCTTAGACAACATCTTCAGCTTCAAAAATTCTCCTCGAGTTCATCAGTCATCATCTCTTGATAATTTTGAACATGATTGGTTGTTTTTTTTGTGTGTATTTTCTCTCTCTCTCTCTAGTCTGCTTGTATAAATGTTGATTGTTTTTATTTGACCTGAATGCTGAACTTTTGTTCATGTGATTTGCTGTATTACGAATCGGTAGATCTTATCTACGTCAATATGTCTGTTGATTATTGGTTTACTTGAATAGCAGGCTTTTAGAAATTCTTTGGCGCTTTTTCTCTGGCGTTACCTCTGTCTAAGACTTGAAGATTATCCCAATAAAGGGGTGAATATCGTGTTTGTTTCTTTTTGACAGTCAGTCAATGTTCATGTATGTGAGAAGACGTGAAAGGGTGGGGGTCGTCCACTTTGACCATAGTCGTTTCAGTGTTTATCTTGTCCTCTTTTTCTGTTTTATTTCTGTTGAGATGGAATCGATTGAAGTGATTTTGTTGGTTTTTGTAGGTGATATTGATTCCAATAGGTTTGAATAGTCTTGCAGTAATTTTGGAAATGTTCTTCCTTGTTTCTTTGATTCGGTCGAATGCGTTGAGAGTAGATATCTTTTGACGAATTATCCTGGATAATCCATTTCTTTTTGGAAGATATTTTTTCCAATTTTCTTCAAGGTTAGAGTGCTGCTGCAATGCATCATGGCTATTTTGAATAATGTTTGTATGCAGTTCATTTTATATGTCTTAATGGGTTGTTGCTGTTGTGTAATTCAGTAATTTGTTCTGTTTGAGTTGATTTTCTGTATACTTGGGTTCTTAATTTTCCTGTCGAGTTGTTTGCTTGACTAAGATGTCTAGAAATAGACTTTTGTTCTCGGATTCCTCTTCTCGTGTGTATTAGGTGTTGTTGATTAGATTGTGAGTGTTGTTGTCTAATTCGTTTCTTTTGATTATCACGAATGTGTCATCCACGTAACGTATCCAATTTATTGTTGGATTATGTTTTTCAAGGCTTTCGCACAACAGCTTCTGAACTCAATCCAGATATATACACGACCCTATCGGTTTTCCTTTTTTATCTGTTCATATATTTCACCGTGGAGTTAGAAATGCGTTAAACGTAAGGCGTTTAATTGTGGTACTGAAGCGTGTACGGACACCAGTGAACCACAATTCACTGATATAGATAGATAGATTTCGTTACTTTCTGAACAAAAGCTTTTTCATACATGTACATTGATGAAATAAGGTCGGTCGGTCGGTTTTCGACATAGAACTTTGCACATATGTGCGCCAGTTCAAGTCGCCACACTCCCTCCTTGTAGCACACAAAGGAAGAGAGGAAACTAGGAGAAATGCATAATAACATAGACAGTAAACAGAGGTGTGAGACAAAGGAATAGTAATAACGGAGAACAAAACAGTTTCATTGGAAATCATAAGTCACAAGGAGTGGATGCATCTGAGCCAGCCATTGAGAACGATTTTGAGCCATGTCACCAATTGTTTCCAACCATTGGTTTTTACCGTCCCGAGGCCCCCAACCCACCAACCAGGAAGTCTACACCTTCCTACGTGGCCTAGACTAACTGTTGTGGATTTCATTGACTGGTGCCATGTTTTGGTTTGACCGCCGCTAGCTCTTTTCCAGCCTGGCCCTATATCAGCTAACATTGCCTCTCGGTTGAGGAAGGCGATGACTAGGCATACGTAACACATGTCCTAACCATCTCAGTTGATGTAATTTCACAGCCTCGTCGACTGATTTCCCCTCAATGCTTACCTAGCGCTCGACGCCTAACCTCAATATTGCTCATCTTATTATACCACTTCACGCAGGAGATAGAACGCAGACACCTATGATCGAAGACAGCTAATCTTTTCATGTCTTCTGCTCTCAATGGCCAGGTCTCACAGCCATAAAGGAGGACGGAGCGGACTGATGAGCAGTACACACGCCCTTTGGTCGATAGACGCCTAACCTCAATATTGCTCATCTGATGAAATAAGGGATTCTAGATTGACTATGAGTATTAGTAATTGAGTTAACTGTGTTCTCTGAGCTGGTTGATTTAATTGCGAAGTTTTTGTCGTCCTTCCTAGACAACATCTTCAACGCAGGTTTTCGTATCAAATAGATTTATTTAAATTCTCCATGAATGATGGTAATTGTATCTCTTGGCGATCACTGTTCTTTATAAACAAGAAACCTGAAGGCATTAAATTCACAAGAGAAGAAGAATTAGACAACAAAATCACACTTTTAGATGTCTTAATCAAGATAACTAAAACAGGAAATTTAGAAACACAATCATATAGAAAATCAATGCACACAGACCAAATACTCAACTATATTAGTAATAAACCCGACTACTCACAAAAGAATCTGTGTGCAGACATTGTTTAAAAGAGTCCATAAACACTGCAGTACTCTTGTGTTGAAGAGAATGGAGAAAAATTACTTACCAACTATCTTCGAAAGGAAAGGATATCCTCACAGTTTCATCAAAAAGTGTTTAAACTCGAGTTAGAACACTGAAAAGAAAACAACATCAAAAACCACAAGATATATGAAGAATATCTTTGAAATAACAACTCAAATATCAAGACCATTTAAAATAGGTATAGCCCACAAGCAGGGAACGCAATCATTTCATCGGATATTGTGTACATCGTTGAAAGTGGACATCCCCTTCGAATCAGAATCCTAGAACACAAATTAGCTGTAAAACAACATCATATATATGTATATCTTTAGTGTCAATGTATGTGGACACAATTACGGACACTAATTTGATTGGGAGAATGTGGAAATTTTAAAAAAAGGAAACACCGAAAATATGTATTAACGGGATTTCCAACTAATTAATGCCTTTATATATCTCCTTTAAGTGTTATATCTGACTAACGGTAAAACGGAACACATTTGATTTTTCTTATAACCTTCGTAGTTCGATGTAAAGTGCTCTGCAAATTTTTCGGGATACATATTGAGTTCTAACCTCTTCTGAAACATTGATTTATATATGTATATGGATATGAGTACATCTAGCTGATTTATTCTTGACTAAATAAATAAAGACTCACCGAGTCGTTCGAAGTGAAGGTAACCAACCAACATCAACAACCAGCACCGATCATCATCAGCGAGAGAGATTTAACGGAGGTTTCTTCCTTCACTTAACTGGGAAGCATCGTTTCAGTTACAGGCAATCAAAACGGGTGAAGATATCAAAACCAGCCAGCCAGAATCGGAAAGGCGAGGCGAGATACACCTTTATCATCCTGAAACAAGTTTGGAAGTCTTCTACACTTCACTCAATCAGCATTAGGAACAAGATTTGGATTTTCAACACCAATGTCAAATCGTTCAGTGCTTCTATTCCGGTCAGAAACTTGACCATCGTGTCACGAAAAGAATTTCCAAACGCTGCCAACTTCACTCTCTGTCTCCATACTGAAGATCAAATGGCCATTTGGCTGGCCGGCCAGAAAGAATTAGTAACAATAAACTCTGTAGTGGAACAAAGCAACCGAGATTCGATTGCTGAACAAATATATGTATGAGAAAATGGAGATGGATGGATCGGACATACGTTGAGAGGAGGCCGTCGAATGACCTTGCGCTCAATGCAGGTCATAACTCGAGGGGAATCCAAATGGGAAATGGCGAGTGGCCATGGAATAGATCGTGTGGTGAGGAGGAGATGAGCGATTAGGGTCATTTGTCGACCTGGTTGAAAACCGATCAAAGTGGAGATGTTTTGTTGAAGCCGCATGTTTCACTTGGAACACGAAAGAATAATAATAGTAATAATAACAATATAATAATAAATGAGTGAGACGTAGACACTGATTTCAACTATTATTGGCATTATGTCATTATTATTTGATGATCTATAATTCCTAACATTATCGATTTAATACTCACAATGTTCACTGTATTTTTCCTTTCTTTTTCCCCCCCCCCCCTGAAATTCTTAACAGCGTTTACTACATCCAACAAAAAATCATTCAGTTGGCCATTCAGATACAACCACTACTGCTTCTGCTTCTGCTACCACTACCACCATCCATGATGGAGTAAGTTGTGCAATTTCACTAAAATGTTTTAATAATATTCAAATGCTCACTAGCGAACTGGGTCTATTCAGGTAGTTCAGGTGGTTATTATTACCCGGGTTCCAATAGGAAGTCGTCATGACCAGTAGTGCGGTATAGCAGGTCGGGTGTGAGGACAAATTCCCGCCACCGATGATGGCACTGACTAGTGGTTGTACTATATCGTGAATTTTTGGTAGAAGTTGAAATTCATTAATTGATCTCTCAGGTCGGATCGCAGTAGTATAGTGGTCTACGGGGATACCCTGTAACGGGATGGTCGTTGATTCAAATCCCGGTGGTGGTTATCTGCTGTTGAAGAGCCTCATACTAGAATGAAACATCTGGTTTTCCAGTGATATGATAAGGATGTTCTTTTGCTACTGTAATACAATTAAAATTACTTTTGTTAGTTATTATTATTGTAATTGTGTTAAACTTACAGATAGACGTTTCACTACCTTCTCAAATTTTTGCACTATACAACCGCTGGTACTCTGTATTGATTTTAGCATTCAAATAATAATAATAATAATATTGGATGATCAAGTTTCTTTCTGTTGGTTATCATTTTCTGTTATGAACAAGCAATTTGATTGCGTAGAATGCAAAAGAATAGGATAGTAGGGACACCGATGCTGAACACAAAAGCAGTGATCACGAATACTGCTTCCCTACTCCAGCAACATTTTACACCGATAGCTACCTGTTTCCCAAAGCCTCCACAGCCTAAACAAGAACGCACCATGATGTGTGAGCCACAAAACTACATTTTACACCAATAATGTTGTCATTACAAAAATATCACCAAGGATATGTCAGTTAGTCTGTTATCATGATCATTGAAAAATAGTAGTGGGTGTTATTTTAATTAGGTCAAATTCTGATTGGTCTATTTACAGACTGGATATCGACTTCTCTATCACTTTAAATTATTGATTTGTAGGGTTTCTGATTAATTTCAGGTTAGGTTACAAACTGATATTGCGTACGGAACCGGCTGAAACATTAGGGATTACTAGAAAGCTGTGTCATCCTAGTTTGTGAGACTCCTAATCTATACTACCGAAGAGTTCAGGACTGGGACGAAACCCCAGTTCAGTATTCCTTGGTTGTTGATGGTCCTGTTATGCTGATGTCAGTTCATAATCATCCGACTAGATATGAATTTCATTTTGATTGATATCTGAATGATGCAATTATTTTTTTCTTTGCATGTATCTCTTATCTTATTACTTTCAGCTGAAGTAATTTTGTTTTAAAAATCTGAATATATTTTTATTTTTAGACTTCACCAAAATTAGTCTGTTCAACAGTATTGCCTCGGCCTGTTATGACAGATATGCCAGATTGCAACTCGTCGTCGTTAAACAACAACCCTGCTACTGTAAACGAGACAAGACAATCAAACAATCGGAAATCAGATTGTCGACTTATCACTGCATCACTTGACAATTTATACGATACACCATTGGTAGTGAGTACTAGTAAACGATGTCGTAGTGGTCCAGCGACCACTCAGTCTATTCCTCCTTCTTCTTCTTCCTCTTTTTCATTATCATCATCGTCATCGACATCCTTCCCATCAACTAGTTCATCACATATCTCTCCTGGGAACAAGAGAACTCGACATGCTTCACAATTTGAAGAGATGCCTAATTCAAGAAAAAATACTGCGATAAACGACTGTAAAAGTAACAATAATAATAATAATAATAATAATAATAATAATTCTGATGTAATACCTAGTCCACCGTTTACATCATTAACACAACTTCTGATGCAAGATTTCCCATCAATCACAGACATTATGTCCAGTTCACCGGTATCACTTGGTTCACCCAAGTATACAACACCTGCTTCTTATGGACAGAATGATTATGCTAAAATGATGAGACCATTTTCACAAGAATCAATGTATGATACTACTAATACGACCACTACTAATACAACTACTACTACTGCTACAACGCCTACTACTATGCTGTGTAATTCATCATCGTTTGACAATAAAGCGATAACATTTCTTCACACTGATTCATCATCTTCTATTGAGAAATATTCAAATAATCCAGGTAAATGGAATGAATGATAATGTGTTTATTATTTATATTTCATTTTTCACTTCTTTCTATAATTACTAGCAGTAATATATAATTTGTGCTCGAAACGTGGTGGTTGGTGGTCATCAGTAAATATATAACTGTGTGACTTTATCAGAATAATTTTTTATGTAAGTGTAAATGAGTCAGTGATCGTCAGCGTGAGGGTGACATGGAGGAGCCGGTGATGCGAAGAGGAGATGAAGCATGTGGGCAGCAGATGTAGGAGCTAGGTGACGAAAACGTTGGCGGAGAAGCGAACGTAATGGAGACGTGCGGCTGAAGCCCTATGTTCCTCTCATCTAGGAACTAAAGGAAATAATAATTATTATTATTGTTATTATTGTTTACTTTAATTCCTAGAGGAACATAGAGATTCAGCCACAAGTCTCCATTGCGTTCGGTTCTCTGCTAGAGTCTTCACCTGGCTCCAAGTCTGCCCACATGCTCTCATCTCCTCTTCACATCACCTCCTGCAAGTCACCCCACCTTCGCACTGACGACCAACTCGCCGCTTCCCTTTCGGGTTCCACTCGAGCAATGGCTTGTCTAGTGATGTCACTTGATGGATTGTTTCCTCAGAGTATGGCCAGCCAATTCACCTCCATTTCTTCCTGCTTATTTCTTTCACAATCGGTTCCTGCTGAGTTGGTTCGCTCATTGCCAGAGATCTCTGTTGCTGATCTTTTCTGGCCGGCTGGCCACCTGATCTTGAGTGGTATTGAGCGAAGACAACTAGCTGTTGATGAAAGTTTGTAGTTTGTTTGAGATGCTCTTCATGACGCGCAGTGCAAGTCTCTGATCCGTATGGTGACTAGCACTGACTTCACATTGGAGTTGAAAATCCGGATCTTATTTTTCATTCTGAGCAGTGCTGTTGACCTCCACACAGACTTGAGAGTAGTGAAAGCTTGTCTTGCTTTTCCGATTCTTCCTTTGATATCCTCGTCAGTTCCGTCCAGCTGTAGTTGAAACGATGCTTCCCAGGTAGATGGTAGAGGAGGTTGTTTCTTTCAGGTTCCTCCCATTTATGCTGATTGTTGTCTGTTGTTGTTGTTGCTGTTGATGGTGTTGCCCAGGAATCTTCATCACCTCTGTTTCTCTATGTTCACCTGAAGTCCTATCTTCTCTGGATGCTTCTTGTGCCAACTTGTTGCTTTTCGCTTGCATATCTTCCAGTTTGTGGGAAATCAGACATATATCATCGGCGAAGTCCAGATCCTCCAAGTTGGTTTTTTGTGTGAGTCCATTTTATGCCTGTTTCCTCATTGCCCGCTGTTTGTCGCATTATCCAGTCTACTGCAATCAGGAAAATCATTGGCGATAGTAGGCGGCCAGCTTGTCTTACTCCTGTCCTCAATTCGAAGGAAATAATAATAATATAAGTGAAAAACTTAGTTGACTTTAGGAACATACCTCAACGTATGAGTTAGCTAAATATTTAGCATTAGCACATCATGCCTCATTAGAGATAGGTCAAATTCTATGCGGCTAACTAATTCCTATGAAATGAAACAGAAACTAGAGGGAATTCAATTAGAAAAAGATGAAATAAAGAATGATTAGTTTTGACATAACCAGTCTATATACTATACATATTCCAATTAATACGTTTCTAGAGACAGTTAAAAATGAACTAAACATTGGTCCTCACCTGAACTCAAAAGTAGGAGTAAGCTCTCGCTCGGTTGATGAAATACTATTAGGTCTTCAGTTATGTCTAACTTCTACTCTATTCAAATTCCAATATAAACTATGTAAACAAACGAATGGGGGGGGGTTAGTGGGATCACCACTACCCCCAGTAGTAGTAGCAGACGTATTTATGGATGTTTGGGAACTTAAGGCTCTTAGAACGTTTAATCCTGCTCCACCTAGGTTATGGTGAAGATATATGGATGACGCATTCAATACTGTTTTGAAATCTGAACATATCCCTCAATATCTCGCACATATAAACTCAATAGTAGACGTAATTCAATTCGCTTCTGAGTTAGAAAATGAACAGGGTCAGTTGGCTAGGTAAACTGTAGAATAAAATGAAAACAAGATGGTGAGGAAACTGACACATTCTAATAAATACTAAGACTTTAATCCATCCTATCCAGAATCGGTAAAGACAGGTTTATTTTTGACTGGACACTAGTCAGTCAGTAACTAGTGTAATCTGTCTAGTCCTATCTTCGGTGCAGACTGAATTCTATCAGTCATTGATTGCAATGTGGCCACCATGCCACTAGGTGGTTCGCCATTACGGTGCACTGTGAATTGTTGGTATTAGATGGTTGGAGGCAATCGGCAGATACGCCTTACTGATGAGTGCCAACTAGCACGAAACCTAGGTCCAAGGCTTCCTGTGGCCGATTGCCTCCAATCACCTAATACCAACAAAAATAGGTTTAGTTAAATGTCTATATAATTGGGCCAAGAGCCTAACTAGTGGACCGGAAGATTTTAATAATCAAAAATCAAACAAATAAAGGAAATATTACTAGTGAAAATTACACTACCCACCAGAACTGCTTCAGAAATAAATGAAGAATCATAGAAAAACTAAGATTAGTATCAAAAATGACGAAAATTTTATCGAATTCAAAGCATCTGTAGTACTGCCGTAGAACGAAGGAACGTCAGAGGCCGCACGTAGAATTCTCAATGACGCTGGAATTAGGGTGGCGTTTAAACCAACCAACCAACTCTCTCAGAGATAAACTAAGTCGCCTTAAAGACCCAATAGATCCAATTAAGAAAAGTAATATAATTTGCCAAATATCATGTAATGACTGTGAGGTCAACCACATACGTAAGTCAAACTAGTAGATTGGGATCAAGTAGATTATCGGAACATAAAAATCTGCCTAGAAGTAGAATAACTGACCCTGCAAAAGTTAAATAATCTAATAAAATACTCAGCCACTGAATTGTATTCACTTGCAATCACGTAATCACAAAATAGGTTGTGTAGGACAGGGTGAGAGCATTAATAGGTAATATAATTAGGTGGAGAGATAGAGAGAGGTTAATCACTGAAGTTTTCTTTATCGATTCAACACCGTACAACATGTGCAATCGGAATTATGCAACGCCGCCAATAATGGAGATATGGAATGTGGCGACAAACAACAAGGGACAAGTTGGAGAAAGACAGAAGATATCCAGAAGACGAATTGTGAAGCTGTGTGACTAAATTGATACGATTATGAGCAGTAATCACTTACTCTGGAAACCTTGTCATCCAGTTGTTAATACTGCATTATCATTGTGTGTGCGTCGGTGGCACAGCGGTTAGAACTCTAGCCGGCCATGCACATGGTCCGGGATTCGATCCCCTGCCAACGCACACCTGATATCAATGGTCGGCTTGCAAAATTTGGGCTACGGATATCACGTGCTGAAAATTTCATACTTGTACTGAAAATAAGGTGTAGAATGAAGCCATAATCAGAAAAAAATCTAATATGGGACAAAATAATTTTTATCCATAGTGGAATCATACTCTACCACAGTGCGTGTTTAACAGTTTTAGATTAAGATTTTCTAGGTTTCCAATGTATTGGTATTATAATTATTACTATCACTAAAGCGGAAACCTAGATAGTTATAATTTGTGCAATGGCTTAGATAATACCTGGTTGGTCGACCTTATTGAAACAGGTGGTTGTCTTAAAAGAGGTCACTTCACGGAGCCTTTTACCTTTGAAGTCTGATTCACAAGTCAGTGAAACTGTGCCTTCCTGTGGTTCTCCGTAATCAAAACAAGCTCATACGCTATTCGATCTGTTCGAATTCTGATGCTTAATGTTCGTCATAAGGTTTGGAATTAGGACTTTTTGTGGTTTAGCTCGCTTAAATAGACACCTGTAAGTGTTTACCACTGCGGTTGTAAGCGTAAGACGTCAGGTATTTACTCTTCCACTTTTATGAGGAACATCCCTTTCCACGTGGGACATGGCCACTGAAAGTGGAAGACATGAAAAGCCTGGTTGACTAGCTGTCTTTGATCATTGGTGTCTGCGTTCTATCTCCCTTGTGAAGTAAGTAGTATGATAGGGTGAGCAATATTGAGGTTGTGCTACAAAATACACTAAGCGTTATTACCAAGTTGACCGTTAAAATTATTAATGATTGGTGTTGTATTTTTTTTATTGAACTAGTTTCTATTTAACTCTCTCGAATATATCGTTTTTTTCTCTTTCTTGATATACTTTCATCTCTTATTGTTAAAAATGACATATGATATATATATATATTTTTAGGATAAGGTAGACTGAATTGAATATTATTGTTATTTAGTGTGAACAATGAACTAGTAGTGAGATTTAGAATTCACATTTTGTCCTATTTGGAAATTGTCAACTGGACAAATGACTAGGGATAGTGCTTCCACTTGGATTCAAACCATATAGTCCCACTTCGTTTCAGTTAATGAGGAAAACAGCAAATTAAATTAAACAGAAAAATAACGATAACTCAAATGTTGTGGTTTGCAGGGATTTGAATTGATTAGTTACAGGATTTCATCATGAACTGACATCGGTTAGGGAACCAATGAAGCTTGCCTTGTAACCAGAAGGTCCTGGGCCCAAACCTCGGCGGTGGGTGTGTACTGATGAACAGTCCCAAGCATCAGGAAGAAAAAGCTGGCTGTCCACTACTCCTTAGTGGTATTCCAATGATCCTCTAATCGATGTCACTTCATGATGAAATCCTGATATCTTTTAATAGTTGTCTTCTCTCACTTATAAGTAATTGGTCAGTTATATATCCTGTTATGAACATCTCTGACGCCTACGTCATTGGTTATGTATATATACTTATCGGTTTCCTGGGTTATATCAAGAACCTTCCTGTTACAAGGCAAGCTCGTAGATCATTCAGTCACTTGGACCCAATCCAATGACCAGTTCATGAATTCCAACTTCTGTCAATTCAGGATATCACGCACGCACGCACGCGCGCTTGGCGAGTATTTGTCTTCACACCCTACCTGCTCTATCTCATTGCACAAGAGGTGGTTCTCATAGCTTAAATTACCTAGTAGATAATAGTTTGGTATTTTAAAACAAAGGATACTGGATTCGAATCTCATCGGGGATTTTTCAGGTACGCATATACATCCATCTGACGCGAATCACTGCCTTTTCCAACATCCACTTAATCCTCAGATGCCATTGAAGCATCTGTACACTTATTCGCTGACACTCGACATTTCGGTCTATGTGTTGTAACACTTATTTGGTAGTACTTAAATATTCAATAATATTGATAATGTGATTATTTTGTCTTCAGAATAATTTCTCTACTTACATATTTTCTATATCCCTAATAAATTTTTATGTATTATAGATTATGAATACAGTGAAAAGTCACAACCAATCTCTTCATGGTCTTCGTCTACTTGTGAAAGTAAAGATAAATATCCATCACACACGATGACGATGATGATGATAGACAAACCAATACCACCGTTGACTGTTGCTCCTACTCCTACCCCTACTACTACTTCTTCTCCTACCTCCAAAAGTTCACTTCATGCACAGTCTAGTCTCTGTCGACTATTACTTGATGCTCAATTAGGACCAGAGGAAATATCTGATGCTGTTGCCAGTGTTCAAAGTTCTGAACAAAATTTTGCATCAATTATCCGAAATGAGTAAGTCCTTCAACAAACAAATGGGATTTATTTATTAATCTTTTTAAAAAGTTTTTAAACCCTAACATTTCTATTAATTTCGATACATACATCAATAAATCGATAGAAATAGAATTGGAAAGTATGCAGGTGTCTAACCAAACTGTTCGACTTTCTGTAACCTTATCGGTAAAATCCATCTAAATGTCCACAGTTGTGTGTGTGTGTGGGGGGGGGTGGGTGGGGTAGGCGTAGGGTTAGGCTGCATCTAATAGCCGTCTAGCTATTATATTATGCTTGTATTCCCCTTTTTTCAACTGTTGATATGAGCGAATTTCTTCTTCCAGTAATCATACATTGTTAAAATTCCAGAATATAGGACATTTTGCATTCGTGTTCAACTCGACCGATGGCCTTGCGTGTGATGTCACTCAACGGTCTCGTCAGTATGTATCCGATCCATCTTCATTTTGCATCGAGGATAGGTTTTTTTTTACAGAGTTCCGTGTTGTTAATACTTTCTGTTCTTTCAGTTGTCTGACCTTCAGCGTGTATGGAACCAGTGAAGGCAGATGTTGATAAAAGTCTACAGTTGCACCAAAATTCTGACCCATATAAAAACACTGACTACTGATGTTGGAAATCTGAATTTGTTGTTTTTTTGATACTACAGATACTGCAGTAGATATCCAAACTGATTTCGGGCATGCCATAGCGTTGAGATAGTTTCAACTCTATCGAAGACTTTTTCAAAGTCGATGAGGTTGTGTTAGAGATTTGTCCACTATTCTAGGCAGCAGGGTGGGGGGGGGGATGGAATCAAATGCATAAAAAGCTTGTTCTTGTTACACTTGGTCGATACTGGACATTACATCGACGTCAACACAGCCTTCAGGGTTATATACTCAATTCCGAAGTACAGTTTGCTTACGTTTGCTACATATAGTTGAAGCTGTTGCATTAAGATTGACTAAACCGGAACTTTGTACCTAAAAAGAACACGTCCAGACACTGTTCCTGCCGTGTTTACACTTGGATTCATGGTTCTTCTTCTTCTTATCAAGAGTGCTTCTTCCCCTTAACCCTCTTGGTTTTTTTCTTTCTTTACTTATTATAAATTATTATTATTCTTCATAATTTACATCCTTCATGCAAACATTGTCTCAATACTATCGAATTTTCTATTTATAGTACATGGACTTATTATTAGTAGTGATATTTTCTCTTTTCTCAATATATGCCTCCACCTGTTTCATTTCACACATTCGTTATTTCATTATGAACCTCACATTGCAGTCTTATTATCTCCTGTTTAATACCTACCACTTTGTACTAGCCACCTACCTGACACCTTTTATAACCTTGAACTGACTTGTCAATTTTCCTACCCCACATTCTACAAATCTATTGTGGCTAATCAACACCACCGTTGTCTCCCATTTTACAATATTTTGTAATCGATTTCAGCCCAGAGCACGTTTGTAACACAAATATGACTATTTACTTTGACTCCCCTTAACTAATCTGTTATTCTACGTTAGAAAAAATGCATCCGCCGCATAACTGACTATCATTATTGTAACGCCAACAAATATTATAATATGGTATAATTGTAAGAACCTGAAGAGGAGAAATTATTGAAGAGAATATTTCTTCGTTCAGATAAACTTTCAATTCTACACTGTGTTTAATGTGATATGATGCGTCGAGTTTCTGTTTGTTCTATATGTGATAACTTGCTTTTCTTGAATTCAGCTAGTTTTGGTCAAAATTTTCTACATACATCCGTCTGAGAAGGCATAACTCAAGCTATGCAAATGTGATCATATGTGAGGGGATTTCGAGAGAGAGGAAGACCGGAGTCTATCCACTCGTTGCTGTGTACCAGGTACTGCTCATCAGTCCGCCCCATCCTCCCTTATGGCTGTGAGACCTGGTCATTGAGAGCGGAAGACATGAAAAGATTAGCTGTCTTCGATCATAGGTGTCTGCGTTCTATCTCCCATGTGAAGTGGTATAATAAGGTGAGCAATATTGAGGTTAGGCGTCGAGTGTTAGGTAAGGCGAGGAAATCAATCGACGAGACTGTGAAATTACTTCGACTGAGATGGTTAGGACATGTGCTACGTATGCCTAGTCATCGCCTTCCTCGACGGGCAATGCTAGCTGATATAGGGTCAGGCTGGAAAAGAGCTAGCGGCGGCCAAACGAAAACATGGCACCAGTCAATGAAATCTACAACAGTTGGTTTAAGCCAGTCACGTAGGAAGGTGTAGACTTCCTGGTTGGGGTCCTCGGGACGGTAAAAACCAATGGCTGGAAACAATTGGTGACATGGCTCAAAATCGTTCTCAATGGCTGGCTCAGATGCTTCCACTCCTTGTAACTTATGATTTCCAATGAAACTGTTTTGTTCTTTGTTATTACTATTCCTTTGTCTTACACCTCTATTTACTGTTCTATATTATTATGCATTTCTCCTACTTTCTTCTCTTGCTTTGTGTGGTACAAGGAGGGAGTGTGGTGACTTGAACTGCCGCACATAGGTGCATAGTTCAATATCGAAAACACACAAACAGACAGTGTAGCAGGCCGTTTTGGGGAGTAACTGGGGGTGGGGGGTGGAAGGGCATCTTCTTCTTGTTGCTGTTGCAATAATCTACAATGAAATGCTCTTCTATTCTCTGTTAATTTTTTGATGAAAAAAAAAATTGTTTTCTACTACGTCAAGCTAAATCTCCGTATTTATTTTGTTTTTCTTTTTTTTTTCAAATTTTAAATAGTATGGCGTTCAACAGTTCCCTATTGACGGATAATAGTCATTCATTTGAAGAATTATCTACAGGTAGTAATAATAATAATAATAATAGTAGTAGTAGTATCGATCCTATGCATAATTATCAGTCAGCAACATCTCTACTATCATCATCAAATTATTCTATACCTCCAGCTGAATGGAATGATAATCAACTTGAACAATTAATTCTTGAGGCTAAAACTAATTCTAATCCTGGTAATCTATTATTATTAGAAGGAGAAGATAGATTATCTTCGAATACTACTACTACTGCTACTATGGATAATAATAATAATAATAACAGTGATAATAATAATACATCTTCACGTTCAGAACGACATCCGTCTACTTCATCAAAAGTGATCGCTGAAGAAGTGGAAATGTTATTCGAAGTAATACAAGAAAATGAATTAGAAGCAAATAATCATTCATCACATACAATCACTGGTTGTGGTGGTGGTGGTGACACTGGAAACTGTACGTCGTATATGAGTGAATCACCGTGTTCAAAACGCTCACGATTCTCATCATCCACATCAATATCTGAACATCAAACAGAAATGATTGGCGGTTGCGGTGGTGATATTGGAACTGGAAATATTATTGATGGTGATAATGCTGCTGCTTATCGAAATGAAATTAATTGGCAAAATGATGCGAAAGCTGTTGCACGTATCTGTGAACAACTTCAACAAGGTTTAGTTTCTAATAACAATACTAATCACAATACTATGACTACATCAGAATTGTCAGGATATTCTAGTAACAATACCATTATAAACAATTCTTCGTCTACCTCTGCTACTGTTGCTGCCGCCGCTTCTGCTGATGCTCTGTCGGAATATTGTTCGATATCACGGAATAATAATAATATGAAAATGTCATCGAAACACGGACTTGCTGAAAGTAATTCAAATTGTTATTATGTGGTTGTTGTTGCTGTTAATTTTTAAAAATTGATTTTTAAATATTGATTTTGTGTATGCTTCAAAATTAGAGTTAGTAGTAGAATGCTTATTAGCCAACCAACCAACCAGCCAACACCTGAGTTCCCGACACGATCTCCTGCTGACGCACTCCTAAACCTCTTCTGGTATATATATATATATACATTCCTTCACGTTCCCCAGTGGAACATAGGGCTTCAACCTAGAGGCTTGAGGTTTCTGTAGCAGAGTTTATTTTACAGGATGGGGTTGCTAGCCTCTTGCCCAACCTTTCCTCTTCATCAACATTATTTCTGGCTCAGCGAGGTAAAGGAGTGCGTCGGTGGCCGGAAATTGAACCCCGGACCATATGCATGGTCGGCGGGCGTCCTGACCGCTATACCACCGACGCTATATATATATAATCTTCAGTAGGCCTCATCACTTCTATACTGTGGAATCCTTTAGCTTGAAGTCCCCTATATTCTTTTTTTAAATGCAAGGAACAATCAAAGAAATGAACGTATTCGATGAGTGATGTTAAAAAAAATTGGACCTTAGAATGCTACATCTCATTTGATGCAATGATGTTAGGCGAAGTTGTATTGTATGATATAATATATATAGCAAAAGTCAAGATTTGTCAAAAGTGTTGACCTTCAAGAACTAATCAGATTTAGGGAATGTTATGATGAAATGTCATTCCAAATCAAATCATATTTGCCCTTTTGGATTTAACGAGGGTAGATATGGTATTCTACTTATTCTTTAGGTACTTTTTCCATAAATCTATACTGTTAGGTGGTAGGGTTAAGGTTAGGATTAGTGTTTAAAGTTAGGATTACAGTCAGACTTAGGAGTAATTGCTTAGAGAAATCTGTCAGAAATATTAATGAACCTCAAAGTACCATGATCTACAGTCACCACCACCTGGGTGAATGAGAATACATGGTATGATCTCTCTCTATATATAGAGATTATTCATGTAGTGACTAAGAGACATTCTTACACCGCGATATAATCTCCAATAATCCAGTTTAATATCATGTTTTGCAATGTTTTTTTGGCATTTTTCAACGATGATGCCTATTTTTTTCGCATCTGTATTCTTCTGATTGGTTGTTCAAGGTCACTGTGCTTTCGTCTATGAGATATGTAGTTTAACATTGCAATGTGATGTACAGTTTTAATGATGACATTTTATATCATTATCAAACTGATACATCACATGTTATGTTTTGCTCATGAATTAAAACCCTTTAGTTTTTGTTCATGATCATTACTTTACAATAAGAAAATCAAGCTGAAAGAGAGAGAGATGGGGGAGGGGAGTTAGGAAGTTGGGTTATATACTTATCATCGTTTTTACACAGTTCAAATCGCGTTATTTTATAAGTGAAATATTTTCTCATATAACTGTGTAGTTCAACTATTCTCTTTTCTGTTCCACTTATTTTGGAAATTTTCCCCCGTGGAAATCGTTGCCCCGCTCCCTCCGCATCCCTGCTGTTCGAAGTGTATTGTCAGTTTCCTGTTTAACTAAAATGATTATTTTGGTTCACAAGAATTTTTAATTCGCGAAAAATACCCATTAAGACATTGAAATAAGAACAAATTAGTTCAGCGAAGAGTCTCTTTTTGGCGAATTCATCCACTTAGCTGTACAGTCGCAAATATATACAACTAATTTTGTGTGTGTGTGTGTACATTAGGTTTGTCAAAATCAAAATAACAGTTAGTGTGGATTGTTGATTACATCATCAAAATTAAGAAATTAAAATGTGTGATTAATAATCAAAGTTGTAACTAAGTGGGGTGAAGATTGGTAAGATGTGAGTAGGATTACGTAATATACACATGTTTACAAAGATTAGATGTTAGTGAAGGAGTATGGAGACAATTATGAAAATAAACTAGATAATAGGTGAAGAGATTGAATGGGTTAGTTACTAAAAATTATTATACGAAAATTGCAAAAAAAATTTGATAACAAAATGTTGATGACAGATAAACTTGAAATTAAACCTAATGTACACACACACACACACAAAATTAATTGTATATATTTGCGACTATACAGCTAAGTGAATGAATTCGCTGAAAAGAGACTCTTCGCTGAACTAATTTATTCTTATCACAAGAATTTGACACTAATTTCTGCTCGTCCCCCTTCCTTGCTCGCAGCAGGACCATGCGGTCTGAAATATTTTTAAAATTTCGGTAAAGGTGATGTTGTTTTTATCCTCGGTGATGATATAGGGTTGATACCCATTAAACTCAGTCTTCTGTCTTTTTTTATTGGTCTACAAATACGGACGAGTGAACTAACTGTAGACGAACTTCAGGAAGTCCGTCGTCTGAGAGTCGACTCCGTACCTCTAGCGATTATTCTGTCTTTGAGTCAACGGTTTGTATGTTAGGTGGAGCATAAAGCTTCAAGCCATTTTATGAGTTCTGAAGTTTCAATAGCGATGCTTTTACTATTACACGGTGGGTGAGGTTGCCAGTCTCACACTCAACCTCTCACCCTCTTCACCGGGCTCACTAACCAGCTAATAAGCGCGGGGTGGGGGTGGGGGGTTAGGAATGCATCGGTGACCGAGTATCGAACTCCGAGCCATGTGACGTGTGATTGGCAAGCATTCTACCGCTGTACTACTGACACACAATTTATATATATATATAAATATACATAAATAAATGTCTGCGTTCTACCTTCGGTGTTAGGTGGTAGGTATAATGCGGTGAGTTATATTGAGGTTAAGCTTCAGTCGAGTGGAAGTCATTCGACGAGGTTGTGAAGCTACATCGATTGAGATAACCAGCACACAAATGTTACGCATTTCTATCCATCGCCTTCCTCGACAATGGGCAATGTTAGCTGACTTAAGTAAGATCAGGTTGGAAAATGGCTGATGGTGGTAGTGGTGGTCAAATGAAAACATGGCTTCATCAGTCCATGCATTCCTTGGCAGTTAGTTTGAGCCAGTCAGCCAGCCACGTACGAAGATGTAGACTTCTTGGCTGGTTTGGGGTCCTCGGGATGGTAAGAACCAATGTAGACTAGAGACAATTGGTGATATGTCTCAAAATCCTCGTTCTCATTATGTGGTGCAGATGCATTCAGTCTTTGTGATCTGCGATTTCCCCCACCAAAAAAACATCTTGTTTGTCCATGTTCCTATTCTGTCTTCTTTACATTTCTGCTCATCATCGTTCTTTCGGATCTTTTTTCCCCTCTCTATTATCTTCCTTTGTGTGCTTTATAAAGTGTGGTAGGTTCAAGCGCGATGCATCTTTGTGTGTACAAAGTTCTCTGCTGAGATTAGTCCATCTTCCAGTCATCTACCTAAATGTTTCTTTTAAATAAATAATGAGTGTAGTGTGTTTTATTTTTCGGGTCAGTTTGACAGGTTGATTGTCATTCTCTATCTCTCTCTTCTTGGACAATGTGTTCAGTTCTCACTAGTTTTATTGATTTCTCTATAAGTCAAAACAAATGATTCAGCGGAGACTCTTTTTAACAACGAATTTACTATCCAGCTGTACAATCGTATATATATATATATATATAGTGTTTTTAAGAAGTTATATTCGGTGAGGAATTGAATCATAGGTGTGAATGCATAAAATTATACTAGTAGTAAGAAATGCAACTAAAATATTTGTGATTATAATCCCTGCTGCATCTTTGAGAATAGCCTTTACCAGTCAATTATTACTGTTCAATAACATGAAGGACAGGATCCCGCTGTTGGCCAACTCTGTTTATCAGTTCACCTGCTGGTGTGGAACTAGGTATATCGGTCGTTTGACTCGAGTTTTGTCCAAAAGGGTGCAAGAACACTCTCCTGCATAGTAGGTACGAAGAGGTGGAAGTGGAGTAATAAGAAGCGCGATCATTAAACACCTGGTCGATAATGATCACCCTATCTCTATAGCCTCCACCTTTAAATTCATCTACAAGGCAAAAAGCAATTTACCGAAAGCACTACGTACCCGACTCATCTGTATTGCTGAAGCTATCTTTGACTATCGAAACAGAAAAGCCAGATCTCTGTGTATACAGAAAAAGTTCGTTCAACCGCTCCAGTTTTCATGGTCTTAATCCCTCTATGCTAAAGTATGGTAATCCCTAATCCTATTTTGGCTCTATCAATTTTTCATTTTGTCTATTCACTTCGTATTTTTTTTTCCTTCACGTTCCCCAGTGGAACATAGGCCTTCAAGCTTGTGGCTTGAAGTTTCTGTAGCAGTGTTTATTTTACAGGATGGGGTTGCTAGCCCCATGGCCAACCTTTACTCTCCACCATCATTATTTCTGGCTTAGCGAGGTAAAGGAGTGCGTCGGCAGAGGGTCGAACCCCGGACCATGTGAATGGTCGGCGAGCGTCCTAGCCGCTATACCACCGACGCACACTTCACTTCGTATACTCTTCCTTTATTACGTCAATCGTCAGTTAGTATCATTTTTCTCACTTTGAACTGTCCTCGGTATTATTTCACTCGTTCCACTTGTTATTCTAAATCAATTCTGTTATGCAACGTTGTCGAATTTCAGACAATGTTACGAAACCTTTTTATTTTATTCGATTTGCCTTCTAATCCTATAATTGAAAACCCTCTTCCAACATCTATACATCCTATGGATTATTGTATAAATGACATTAATTGTTTTGCCACTCGACACTGAACTATCATTATAGTCACAAATATACTAATTTTAATTGCATTTTAATAGGACTACCACTATTATTATTTTATGCATTCACATCTATGATTGAATTCCCTAATCGGATATAACTTCTTAAAAGCCATATATATATATATATATATATATATATATATATATATATATAAAGATTGTATAGCTTGATAATAAATTCGTTGTTGAAAAGAGTCTCTTCACTGAATCACCACTTGTTTTCTCTATTAGTACTCTATAACTGACTGTCATCACTTACATGATGACAGCTCTTTATTTTCTGAGTGCATAGTGATGAATAGTAATAAAGGGATTCAATTTTTACTTTTAAAAAAATGAAGCATATTATGGTACTTTATTCTTCTCTCGCTGTCTGATAAACTTTTCTCATATCAGTTTCTCAGCTGACACTTTGTTTTGATCATTTTTATTCCAGAGAAATTTATTATTTAATCTGATTTAATTGTTCTATTCACCGGGTGGTTATATTGTCTTAAGATGTATTTGTTTAAGATATACTATATTAGCATTATTGTTGATCAGGTCTTCTATATATGTAGGTGCACTTTGTTGCACTTTATTTGCTTGATTTTTGTCTTTTTAGTACATATCAAATTTCATAGAAGTACATTCACTTTTGCTGCTACGCGGTTCTAAGCTGTATATATATAAGTGATATATATATATACTACTCATTTCAATCAATCAGTAGTACATACCGTGATCTGAGTAGTTTGGTTTCCCTAGAAAAACTGTGGTGAAAATATTGTCTCCTCAAACTATTGTAAATTGAGAATTTGATTTAATAGTGTTGTGACGTGTTTGTGCTACTGTGATAAGATTTATCAGTAGTATCTAAAGTGAAGTGAAGAAAACAACATCAAATAACAAGGAGGTAGATTTAATTCCATTATGGGTAAATTTTTATTTTGATAGAGTCTCACAGTGTTATACAGTAATATTTACTGATGACGTTTCGAGCACAATTTATTGCTCATAATCATATCAAGTTAATCACACGACTTCCTAAATTCATTTATATAGTTCCATTGTTTTTCACTTGATTTTCACTTGATTTGATTGCTAGTACTATTTTCCATATTTCGGGTATGAGTGGTGATTCATTCCTATTGCGTGTGTTGGGTGCAGATTCGATGAACACAGATTCAGTAATCAACGTCTCTCTCCACCTACCTAGATTACTTTTTAGAATTTTAACCCTCTCCCACCCTATTGTGTGGTTGTGTGTTAATGCATGCATTGCAATTGACGAGCTTTTTTCTAAATTACTTATCTTCTCTGGGTCAACCATTCTTACCTCAGCTAAATTCTTATGATCTGACAATCTGACTACTCCTGACCTACTAGTTTGACCTATGTAGTTGACCTCACATTCATTGCAGGGTATTTTGTAAATTATATTATTTTGTCTAATTGGGTCCACTGTGTCCTTTAACCTACAGAACTTGTCCCTGAGTGAGTTTGTAGGTTTAAATGCCACCCTAATTCCTGCTTTATTTAGAATCCTACGAAAGGGTCTCAGATGTCCCCTCTTTATATGGTATAATTGTAGATGCCTTATATTCTCTCTTATTTATGTTATTATTACTAGTTTCACAATTCTTTTTATTTTTCTTTTGGCGTTTTTCAGTCTTTCGAATGAATTTTAGAGGATAGTTATTTAAGTAATCTAGGTAGGTGGAGAGAGAGGTTGATTACTGAATCCTTGTTCATCGAATCTACACCCAACACATGCAATAGGAATGAATCATCACTCATACCCGAGATGTGGAAAATAATACTACCAATAAAATCAAGTGAAAAACAATGGAACTATATAAATGAATTCAGGAAGTCGTGTGATTACCTTGATATGATTATGAGCAATAAATTGTGCTCGAAACGTGGTCATCAGTAAATATTACTGTATAACACTGTGAGACTCTATCAAAATAAAAATTTACCCATAATGGAATTACACTCTACCACAGTGCACAAGTTTTATTCTTATATCAACGAGGTAGATTTAACGTTCTAAAAAGTAAATGATTCAGCGTTGCGGAGAAACATGAGAGAGACGATGTAAAAAAAAACACAATATGAGGGGAAATGGTGCATTGAACATATAAGGTGTATATAATTTCAGTATATGCATATTGAGATACTAAATTGTCAAGGATTTGATCTTTTATTGTTACCAAGTGTTACCAAGTTCCCGCAAATAATTAGCTAGAAATCGTATGGAATTTTGAGTTGATTCACCTCTCTGAACTGAGTAATAACCAAGTACATATTGCTGATGAACTCGCCTCAAGACGAGCGAAACAGTTCTCCTTGTGTTTAGATCACTTCAATCTGGTTAGCCAAACACTACTGGCTCTTGATATGTGAGTGGTGTGTACAAGCTACTCATCTTAACTGAATCAGTAGTATATTCAGTTTAATGTACTTTTTACTTTTTCAAAACTCGAATTTCTATCATTGCTTCTTTTCATTATTATTATTATTGTCAGTGTCAACCCCATTACTGGTGACTACACGTACAACTTGGTCAAGTTTTCCACCTCAAACAACTAGTACAGTTCAACGAAGATTTAGCGGTGGCTCCACTGGTGGTGTCAATAAAGCTGCTGTAGCAGCTGCTTTAGCCAGTCAACAAGCAGCAGCAAGTCAGAGGAATCAATTGACAAATCAACGTCTATTAGCTGAACAACGTAAAGTAAGTTGTGTTCAATTTGAGTATGTATAATAATATTAGCGTTATTATTATTATCAAAAGACGACTGATCACTACTGAGTAAGGGATATATACTTTATCAATAATTCCATCATCAAACTCTATAGTTATGTATCCATGATAATTTTTATTATTTATTGTTCCTCTGACTTCCGAGATGAACCTAGGGCTTCAACATCCATCCTCTTCAGCTGGCTAGCCACAAAAATGCCTATAATCTCTCATCTCCTCCTAACCGCACGATTTCCTTCATATGAAACTCGCACCGACGACCCGATCGTCTCTTCCCACTTGGAATCCACTGGAACAATGGCCTGCATTGACCGCAATGTCATTCGACGGCCTCCTCAATGTATGCCTGGTCCATCCATCTCCATTTTCTCCTACATATTTGTTGAGCAATCAGCTCTTGGTTGCTTTGTTCCACTACAGAGTTTATTGACGTTCAGTATGGAGCCAGACAGTGAAGTTGGCAGCTGTTGATGAAATTTGCAACAGGCTGCTGGAAATCCTTCTCGTGACACACTGGTCAATTTTCTGACCGGATTAGACGTACTGACCGATTTGATATTGGTGTTGAAAATGAAAATCTTGTTCCTAATGCTGACTGAGTGCAGTGTAGGAGACTTCCAAACTGGTTTCAAGTTTATGGAGGCATACCTTGCCTCTCCGATTCTAGCCAACTTTGACATCTTCATCCGTTTCGACTGCCTGTAGTTGAAACAATGCTTCCTATGTAAGTGAAGGCAGAAACTTGTGTTAAATCTCTCTCCTTGATCGTGATTGGTGCAGGTTGTTGTTGCCGTTGTTGATGTTGGTTGGTTATCTTCACTACCTCTGTCTTCTCTATGTTCACTTGGAGTCCTGTCTTCGCTACCCGCTTCTTCAGCTAGTTTGTTGGTTTCTGCCTGCAAGTCTTGGAGTTCGTGTGACATCAAACATAAATCATTCACACGAGGAATTCACATCTTCTAGAATCTTCTTAACTGTCAGCGCAGCATATTCCTGTTTCCTCGCTCCCTGTGCACAGTCTTCTGCATAGTCCAGTCCGCCAAAAGTAAGAATATCATCGGTGGTAATAGGCAGTCTGCCTTGTGTTATTCCTGTATTCACTCCAAACCCAGACTCACTGAGTTTTCCAATGTGGATCACCTGAGACGTGTCACTGTCATATAACGCTGTTTGTCGAAACCGTTGCCTTTTCGAAGTTGATCAAGTTAAGGTAGAGAGAGGTTTGACTGCCATTCTATGCTTTCTTCTATGATTATTTATTTAGAACAACACATATAAGAGCATGAACAATCTAGTGTTTTTAATTAGACCTTATCAGTCTTTAATATACAAAACTTTGCAAATAAATTTGTTTAAAAATACTTTACATCCTATTGGATCAACTGTAATGTATATGATTCTATTTGATGTTGGATGGTCGGTGTCTAAAACACTGGAATTCACAATGTACATTTCATCCTATTTTGGAACTCCTCATTCGAACCAGTGAGTTGAGGATGTTTCCATTGGGTGTGAGTACCACTCATTGTCAACAGAGACAGACACTTTGTAGTTCAATATTTGATTTTTGACAATTATACTCTAGATCTTTAATTGTGACTAGTAATCAATATCAGGTGTGTTAGTATTGTTGTGGACTTGGAGTATAACTTGCTCCTTTTACTTTGATGGATTTTGTTTTCAAATATTGAAGATATGAATCAAAGTAATTGTATTTTGTTGAAATCATGGATGCGGTAACCACCTGTTCCCTTATACCGTCATCAGTTGCTAGAACAGACCAACAGTCATTATATTTCTTGATGATTCGGACTGCCTTCTTGATTGATCTGTTGAACAGAATTGCTTTTTGGAAATACTACCGTTTAGAGAAATCTTTCCCTGAAAAGTTTTTTGTTTTCACATCCTAAAAGCTCTATCCTCTGAAATATCTCAGGTAAGGTGAAGGCATATTAACCAGCTGTTGTGATTATTCTCAAACAGTAATGGGGTTAGAAACCGTTGCTGAGTCTCACCATTTCTCTTCATCCTCGCTATCAATGACATCCTGGAGTCAGATCTGAAGGGCGTGTGTGTGTGATGATGATGATGGTGGTGGTGTAGATGTTCTGTCTGCAGAAGGACTTCGACCTCGAGTATGTGATAGCATACAGGATATTCGAATCGTAATTGACTACTATCAATGTCTTTAAGTATGGTATGTGTTTTGGTGAATTCAGTTGTACTCGACACTTGTGAAACCTGGCCTCCAGCCTAGTCATATTTAACTGCGACTCTCCGTGTTTAATCGCTGCCTATGTAGAAAATCGCTTTTATCCTCCAGCATTATCATATAAATAATTCTCAGGTCTGGCAGTATGCGTTTGGATACATCAGCTTTGGTTATTCCATCAATTTTTATGACGTTCAATGTTTCGCTAGCCTTGGATGGAGAAAAGCGTAAGGGTGATCAGCTAGCTTATGATGCATGGCGCTGTGAGTTGTTGAATACTGATGCATTACGACTCCCTGCGTTGGGTGTGTGTGTTTTGATGTTTATATATGCTCTAAGTAGTTCTTTTTGTTAATACGTTGGTTGGTCAACGTGTCTTTCATTCATTCAACCATATGTGAAAATGCTTATTCGTGTTGAGGGGTATCATACGTTATTATTCACCAGTAAAGTATGTCGGTTTCTGAAATATAATTAGTAATATACAGTTGATTCTAACTATGTATGCAAACTTACATGTACCCGTGATAGCAGTTACATTGGGGGGTGGGTACACCGGTCGATTTTCTGAACATGTACACTGAAATTTCTACATCTCAAGGAAACAAACGTTTTTACATTTAATGCTATTGCTAAACATCTCGTCAATATAGGTTATGGGATAGAACATCACGAAATCCTTTAAAATTGTCAATAGACTAAATAGTTCAACTCTCCTGAAGGAGTTATCGGTATGTTCTTACCAGCCTGGTGGTAACTGAATGTCTTTACTCTCTCTCTCTTTCTCTTATTTATTATGTAATCATTGAACTCACTACATTGTTACGCAGTTTATTGCCTACTCATCATCTTATTCACCTCTTGTCTTTATTATATAACTCTTGCCACACTGTATCCAAGCATTTGCTATATTTGTTTGTTGTTAAAACTTGTGCTTTCGATGTGTAGGCTCTATATGGGTGCAAGTTTTGAGTAGTGTTTGATTAAGTTTGGAATTCGGATTTTCAATACAAACGTCAAGTCAGTCACTTCTTCTATACGGATCAGAAACTTGGCGGCGGGTCACAGAATATTTCCAACAGCCTGTTGCAGACCTTTATCAACAACTGTCTTCGTCGCTCCATACTGAAGATCACGTCCCCAACTCGATCTGGAAACTAAGTCCCTATTTGAGGAAGAACTAGCTAAACACATATCTGAGTTCGACAGCTGCGCTCCCCCTGAAGAAGCCTGGAAGAATATTCAATCAGCCATAGATACAGCTGTAAAAGCTGTGAATAAGGTAAATCCAAAGGTGAGTAAAAACCATTGGATTTCGACTGCCTCATCCGAACTGATAGATGCTAGAAGACTTATTCCGGCGAGCTCCGAATTCAATGAGGAGCGAAAGCTGCACAAAAGGAAACTTACGAAAAGTCTCCGCAAGGACCGTGAACAGTGGTGGTTGACAAAGGCGAAAGAGATGGAAAAAGCATCGGCGATAGGCAACACTAGGCAACTCTTTAGACTCATCAGGGAAACGGGTGGGAGAAGGCAAATCATAAGTGAGACTATTCGTGAGAAAAATGGCTCCTTAATTAGCTCTCAGGATAGACGCCTCGAACGCTGGAAAGAACACTTTGAGGAACAATTTAACTTGCCTACAGCCACACTGAGCATCTCCGCCATCCATCACACACCTGAATGGGATATAGACACTGGCCCGCCGTCTGTAAGTGAGGTCACCAAAGCAATCTGTAATTTGAAACGAGGCAAAGCGGCAGGACCCGACGGAATTATTCCGGAGGTATTTAAATATGGGGGTGACATACTAGTATATAGTTTAACTAAGGTACTAGGTAACGTCTGGGAATCAGAGACGGTTCCATCAGACTGGGGTAAGTCACTTATCATACCAGTATTCAAGAAGGGAGATAAGTCCTCATGTGATAATCATAGAGGAATCAGCCTAACGAACATAGTCTCTAAAATCCTAGGCTCAGTAATCATGAACAGACTAAGCCGAACTCGGGAGGAACAAACGAGGGAAAATCAAGCGGGCTTTAGGCCAGGTAGAGGGTGCATAGATCATATCTTCACTCTCCGACAGATCCTAGAACATAGACACACTTTTAGGCGTCCAACAATTGCCATATTTCTTGACTTGAAGGCGGCCTTCGACTCCGTGGATCGAGAGGTACTATGGCAATGTTTGACTGTGAAGGGAGTGCCAAGAAAGTACATTGCACTAATCAACGCTCTCTACTCAAACTCACGTAGCTGTGTAAGGGCTTATGGGGAATTGTCATCTGAATTGATAACAACTAGTGGTGTCCGTCAAGGATGTCCACTTTCCCCTTTTCTGTTTAACTTCATCATAGATATGCTAGTGGAAGTATCCTTAACTGAACTTAATGACTTAGGAATCGACTTGTTACCAGGGAATAGTCTTATAGACTTAGAATACGCAGACGACATAGTCCTCTTAGGGGAGGACGCTGACGAAATGCAGAGTCTTCTGAACACCTTGAGCAGCAATCTTCGTATGTTTGGCATGCGATTCGCCCCTGTGAAATGTAAGATGCTGCTACAGGACTGGACTACGTCAACTCCAAGCTTAGTGATAGGGAGTGAAGTGATAGAACATGTTGACCACTTCACCTATTTGGGAAGTTGTATCAGCACCAACGGATTGATTGGTGACGAAATCACAGCACGGATCCAGAAAGCTAGGGCTGCTTTCGCTAACTTACACCATCTCTGGCGTAGGCGTGACATCCGGCTGTCAACCAAAGGACGTGTATACTGCTCATCAGTTCGCTCCGTCCTTCTCTATGGCGGTGAGACGTGGCCATTGAGAGCTGAAGACATGAAGAGATTGTCTGTTTTTGACCACAGATGTTTACGATCTCTTTCTCACGTTAGGTGGTATAATAAGGTAATTAATGTTGACGTTAGGCGTAGAGTGTTGGGCAAAGAGGGAAAATCACTCGAAGAGGCTATGAAGTTACATAGATTGAGATGGTTAGGCCACGTGCTGCGCATGCCTAACCATCGTCTCCCCCGACGGACGGGCATTACTAGCTGATATAGGTGCAGGTTGGTTGGAAAAGAGTAAGTGGTGGCCAAACAAAAACATGGCATCAATCAATCCATGAAATCCTTGACAGTTAAACTGAGTCAGGTAGGGAGGGAGATGCAGACTTCCGGGTTGGGGCCCTCGGGACTCTAAGAATCAATGAAGGCTGGAGACAATAGGTGACATGGCTCAAAATCGTTGTCAATGGCTTATGCAGATGTATTCAGTCTCTTTAACCTTCATACTCCTTTCTACCATTACTCATTCTGTTTCACTCTTATACTTGTCAAAACTCTATTGATTCTCTTCATCACTCATTTTCTTGTCTACCTTTGTGTGGTATTTGGAACGTGGCAACTCGAACTGGTGCACTTCGGTGCCAAGTTCTATGTTGAATCCAGACAGAGAGAGACAGACTGAAGATCAGATGGCCGGAAAGAATCACCAACAAGAAACTATGGGAACAAGCAAAGCAAGAACCAAACGCCCAACCAATATGCAAGAGAAAGTGGAGTTGGACCGGAAACTCGCTGGGGAGGCCACTGGGTGACATCGCGCGTCAGGCCAGTGCTCGAGTGGAACCTGAAAGGTAAGCGGCGAGTGGGACGTCCAAGGGTGACATGGAGGAGATCGTGTGAAGATGAGTTGAAACAGTATAGACTAACATGGATGCAAGTGAACAGTGCAGCAGAAGACAGAATCAAGTGGAGACGTGCAGTTGAAGCTGTATGTTCCACTAGGAACCCAAGGGAACGATAATAATAATAATAATAATAAGTTTGGTGTCTCCTATCAATTAACTTCACATCATGTCACAATTGTAAATAATGTTAAAGATTGTTCTGTACATAAGCTTTCTTTAGACTGTGCACATAAGTGATAAGATGCCGATTAAGAATAAACAATGATGGTTCCATCGTCTTATTCTGCACAACGCCCCCCCCCCATTGCCCGTTGTTCTTGCTGATAGGATCCCACACACTTTGTTATTGTTTAATTATCTTAACGACTGTTAATCTCGTATATGTTGTATGTCATCAATTCTCACACACTTTGTTATTGTTCAGTTATCTTAATGACTGTTAATCTCGCATATGTGTTATATTATCATTTCCCAGGCACTTTGTTATTGTTCAATTATCTTAATGACTGTTAATCTCGCATAAGTGGTATATCATCATTCCCACGCATTTTGTTATTGACTATTACGACCAATTATTTCAAATACTGTTAGCTGTCTCTATTGGTTGTAAAATTGTATAAATACCATTTCCTGAATAAGTTTATTTTTCGTTGTTGTAGTCGTCGTTGTTGTCGTGTTGTTGTAGTTGTCGTCGTTGTTGTAGTTGTCGTAGTCGTAGTTGTTGTACTACAATACACAGTCACAGACCAGACTTTGTCTTTTGATATTTACGTGGTTCGCTGAGTCGGAAGGTACCAGAAGCAGATAGGCATATTAGTCAGGCGCAGACAGAACTAGGCGACAACGTACCTCATTTTAATTCCCGCTACAGCTACAACAAATTGGCGACGCGTTTACCTCAATTCATTGCAGTTATAACACTTGCCTTTATTCAAATATACAATTTGTTGATTTTGGTGTAGTTGTGTTCTTGGAGCTCGATGGATGGTTAATAGTTGCGAAGCTTTCATTGCCTCACCACTAGACAACATCTTCAGCGCATACTTCAGTTTGAATTGAAGTGAGGTTTTAGATTTATTCTTCTAAAAATTCTTTAGCATTCTTGGTGTTTCCTCTGTCTGATATTTGAACTTTGGTTCTCCCAGTCGAATTGATGTCTGTGGTTGTCTGTATAGAGCGATATGTGCGAGTGAGTAGATGTCATGTCTTTTGATGGCTAATTTATGATCATGGATACGAAGACGAAGAGAACGTTCACTTTGGCCAATGCAGTGTTTTCCGCAGTCGTTGCTATGTATTTTGTAGATGATGTTGGTTTCATTTTCTTTCATTGTTGAGTCTTTTGATTGACATAGCGCCAGCCGAGTGAAGTGATTTTGTTGGTTTGTGTGCGACATCAATTCCCAAAGGTTTGAAGAGTCTTGCAGTGATTTCTGAGATGCCTTTTATATATGGTAGGACTATTTTCTTTATGCTTTCCTTGGTGGTGGGGCCTTTGAATTGGTTGATTGGTCGGCTTGGCGGTAGATGTCTTGTTTTAGAAAACGTCCATAAGATATCTTTCTTCACTTTTCCTTAAGGTGGGAGTGCTGCAATGAGTAGGACAATAAAACCTTTGCAAATGAACCATTCAGCCCAGAGAATACAGCTACATCAAAATCATCCACTTGAGCTACAAATCTTCTCCATCATATACGATTTGTTGATTTTTGCTTTAATTCTCCAATGTTTTCTTATCCCATTGTCATTCTCTTTTCTGCTGCTTTTTTCTTTTCTAAACAGCGTCTTATACAACATCAATTATATAATCAAGTAGCTGTATACTCATTGAATTCACCATCAAATAATAATAATCCAACTTATGAAGGTGGTGGTAACATTGATCCGTATCATCAGGGAAATACCTTCATATTGAATGAAAATATCCCCTATGGAATTGAAAGTATACCGGTGATTGTTACTGGTGTCCCTGTGGCTTCGAATACAACAATAACGAATATTACTAGTGCTACTGTTACTCCTCCACTGTCTTATGTTATACCTAGTCATAAATCAATAACAACAACAAGAAGAAGATCATTGTGTTTAGATGGAGGAGGCGGAGGCGGAGGCGGAGGACAGAATTTCAACTCAGGTGTATTAAGCTTAAATGCGACAACAGTGCATTCCTCTAATTCAGCGTCAATTAGTACAGCATCAAAACTATCTGGTTTCTATCATCCAAATCATCGTCCAGAAGATTTATCACGATGTTTAAAAGAAGTTGGTCCCAATGTTCGCGTTGAAGTGAGTTGTGTGTGTGAGATTGTTTTGTTGTTGTTGCTGTTTTTTTAAACACTTATATGATGGTGGGTCACTGGCTCAATAGAATATAGAGTGTAGTGGTAGTCGTCATTGGTTAGTTGTTTGACTACAATTTTGACTACACTACACCTTCAGACAAGACACACTATAAATAAACTGATCACTTGAAAATATTCCCCTATATTGAAGTAGATTCAGGACTTGGGTTTGACGGCGATAACAGCTGGAGCAACAACTTTTATTACACAAAATACAGGATATATATATAGTGTTTACACCAACGGAAATTTGAACCAGAAACATGAAAAGATTAGCTATCTTTGATCATGGGTGCCTGCGTTCTATCTCCTACGTGAAGTGGTATAATCAGGTGAGCAATATTGAGGTTAGGCGTCGAGTGTTAGGTAAGCATTGAGGGGTAATCAATCGATGAGGCTGTGAAGCTACATCGACTGAGATGGTTAGGACGTGTGTTACGCATGCATAGTCATTGCCTTCCTCGACAATGGGTAATGTTAGCTGACATAGGGTTAGGCTGGAAAAGAGCTGTTAGTGGCGGTCAAACCAAAACATGACTTCATCAGTCAATCAAATCCACAACAGTTAGTTTAAGCCAGTCACATAGGAAGGTGTAGACTTCCTGACTGGTTGGGGTCCTCGGGATGGTAGAAACCAATAGTTGGAAACAATTGGTGACATGGCTCAAAATCGTTCTCGATGGATGGTGCAGATGCATCCACTCCTTGTGACTTATGATTTCCAATGAAACTGTTTTGTTCTTTGTTATTACTATTCCTTTGTCTCACACCTCTGTTTACTGTCTATATTATGCATTTCTCCTACTTTCTTCTCTTGCTTTGCGTGCTCAAGATGGATGGAGTGTGGCGACTTGAACTGGCGCACATATGTGCAAAGTTCTATGTCGAAAACCGACAGACATACAGATATTCCACCGATATAAGAATAAAACTTGGGCACTGTGGTAGAATGTAATTCCATTATGGGTAAATTTTATTTTGATAGAGTCTCACAGTGTTATACTGTATAACACTGTGAGACTCTATCAAAATAAAATTTACCCATAATGGAGATATTCCACCACCCAAGGGAAAAATAATAATAAACCGCACTTAGTTAGTGTATTATTATTATTATACTTCGGAAACGTCAATAGGGCTGGTAGGACAATAAGATTTGAACCCTATGATTTATTCGTCTAATGTTGTCCGCCTAAACTTTAAATGAACTGCATTTTTTACTAACATGCTATTGATTATTAATACATCTTTTAATGGAGTCGTAGCTCTGGAGAGATGGTGTCTAGACACACTTTCAATATGCAATCATCAAATGGGGGTCATACGTGGTCCTATCTCCACTTCACTCTATCATCTACATTGTCAGCCCCAGAGAGTTAGGTAGGTAGGTGGTGGTAGTATTACACTAGCCTCTATCTCTCTCTTTCTCTCTCTCTTTTGTCACACTATTTGATGAAGTTTCATTTCCAACTGAATGGTATTGTGTAAGTGGTTGTTTCTTGACGATTTATGTTTTATTATTATTAGTAATAGTTGTCATTACTCTAGTTGTATTATTTGTTGCACTTTTAACCCGTCTAGTTATCATGCAAGATTCCTGTTAATGAGAATCAACATTCAAGTAATGTGAATAAAATTCCTTATGTTCATTCAACAACGAACATCAATAATAATAATACTAATAATAATTGTACTATCGGTAGTGGTAATACAACGAAAATGCTACAACAATCCTCTAAATTCTTGCAACAACAACAACACCAACACAGTAATAATAATAATCTCAATTCATCAAGTAAAATGCATCCACCTACATCAGTGTATCCTACACCATCGACAGTTGTTGTTCTTGTACCGTCTGCTCCTGGTGCGGCTGCTGGTTCCACTATAAACAGTTTAAGAATAACATCAAGAAATCAAATATTACCTGAAAATCAACAACATTTATCAATTGTGGATAATAGGTAACATTATTATTATTATTATTAGTTTATAAGTTATTTCTTTCATTATAAACTTGACTGATAAAACAGTCCTACTTACCACTGAACCCGAATACGTCAGTAGTCGTGGTGGCGGCGGTGGCGGTAACATCTCTGACTGCAGCAGCACTCACTGGTTGACACAGGTTTGAATTTCAAAAATGGAGGGACTTGAATTCCTCCGCGATGTTGGATAAGTCGTGTTTCGCTGTGTGAAACTAATAGTGGTGGTTAAGTGCTGACAAGGTACAAAATCTAAGTCAAGCAAGGTTTCCTGTGACTGATTGCTGCCTCCAACCATGTATCTAATAATAACAATAATTACTGATTATTTCTTTATATTTTCAGTTATGTTGTTTTTAAAAATTTCTTTGAATGAATTCTATCACATATTGCACTTATATTTCTGTAGTTTAACAATACACTTCATCAGGATTCGATTCCTGGTCGCGAAGGGATCACGCTATGTCATGAATTGGCAGAAGTTAGAATTCATGCGTTAGACATTGGATCGGGGCTGCTTAGTGGTCTACGAGATCGTTGGCATTGTAAGCAGAAGATCCTGGGTTCGAACCCCCTGTGGTGGGTGCGTACTGTGGAAGAGTCCCAAACTAAGGTTGATAAAACAGCTGCCAAGTACTCCCTGTGGTTGGTTTTCCAATGGTTGTCTAACTGATGTCAACTCATGATGAAATCCTCCAACCATATATATTATATTTATGAAGACCAGACAGCATTCATCGAATTATTGTCAGAAAAGGAAGAAAGAAGGAAATTGCAGCACCTTCGCCATTGGTGATTGCTATTGTTAGCCGTATCCGATAACATTTTGAGCCACCAATTCTAGCTATCTCTTGAACCCCAACCAAGGAGTCGTAGCGCACCAACTGAAGCTGACCTAACACAAATATCTTTCATTTCACGACGCCAAGTCATAAACTGACCACCTCTCTACCTTTTCCGACCCGTCCCAGCGCTGGTTAGTGAACAGAGACCGGTACGGAAACCTCTTGGATGACATTCTTAGCACATTTTCAAGCCATCGGAGTCTGTGTTTTCAGATGATGACGACACTCAATGAATGGTGATCTCTGCTGTGTCCGAACACAAACTTCTGGACCTCCGAATCACGGACGCGTTGCTGCCATGGAACGTAGGCAATCCTACAGACACAGTGATGATAGAATACACAGAGTCGCTGCACATCCTCAGCTCACAGAGGTCAGTTTTTGGCAAGGGTAAAGCAAAACAGCGCGCACTGAAGCATTGTAAACACTACCTTTGACAACCAGGTTAACGTCACGACGACGTCAGAAGTGGGTTCATGTTGGCGTGTGCTGTCCTAGCTTTCATGATACGGTTGGAAATCTCATCCGTCATGCCTCCGCCAGTGATCACACAACTACCCAGATACACAAACTTATCATCTGCAAGAGTTAGTGCAGGTATAGGTTCCTGTCAATCTTGTAACAAAAAGTACTTTGCACTTAGACGGCGCAAAGCACACACACCATACTTACAGACACTGATCTCCAACTGATTAAGTGCGATTTGGGCAGCCTCCATGCTATTGTCGCACAATAAGATGATATTGTCTGCATACCCGAGGTCGAAAAGTCTTTCTCGAGGGAGCAGATCTGCACCACCACCACGCACATTCTTTAGAGTTGACTGCAGAATATCATAGATGTTAAAGTTAAAATAAAAGAAATGGAGAGACTGGACAACCCTGTCTTACCCTACTTTTGGTTGGGAACAATGATGATAGTGTGTTGTACGCTTTCATAGGACTTTCAGGATGTTGATAAACTTTTGTATTGGGGGGTACATATAGTAGACTTCAATAACTTTTATGCTGTTTGTTTATTCTTTGATTGTTGTTGTTGTTTCTTTTTGTTATTGTAGCCGTTTAGTTAAAGCTGAACTACGACAAGCATTGGTCGGTCGACAAGTTGTCTATCAGAATAGCATCAACAATAACAGCAATACCAATACCAACACCACCAATAATAATAATAATAATGTTATTGATAATAATCACAGGGGATTTCAATGCTCTCAGGTATTACCTTCTAATCAATTATTCACTGATTCTATTCCTCATTCAATGATGAATATGTATCATACTACTACTACTACTACTACTCCTACTCCTACTAGTACTAGTTATACTTCTTCATCAATAATTGGAATTGATCAATTTTCTAATTCAGGTGTATTGCCTTGTTCTACTGCTACTACGACGATGACGACGACAATAAATCGTACACCGACGCCTACTACTACTACTACTGTTACTCGTGGAGTTATCTCATCAACAACTATGCGAGGATATGATCATCATAATCATAATCATCAAATTGTATGCGGTGTACAAAATTCCATGAGCAATGTTCATAATAATAATAATAATAACAATAATTGTCAACAATGGTCACCTACTGTATTACCTCAATCTGTTTATATTCGTCAGGGTTCTTTAAATTTAGATATTAATACTAATAGTAATAGTAATAATAGCAATAATAATAACAATATATCCACCTCATATAATGTTTATCCTTCTCAGTCAATTCACCTAATTCATGATGATAATGGTGGAGGTTATACTTCTCAGGGTTTTTCTACTATTGATAAACACCACCATCAGCATCATCATCACCACCAACACCACCACCACCAACAACAACAACAGCAACAGCACAATGAAGAGAAGAGCACAATAGATCCATTCGATTTTCTTAATTACCATAATAATAATACTAATAATAATAATTCATCATATTTCAATAATACATTCAACTATCCAAATGTTCATCCATTGACACCGTCTAGTTTATCACCGATCAGTGTATCAGCGAATACATCACCGTGTTCTAGTACAACATCACAAACAGCTTTATTGAAATCACCAATTTGTCAACCTGGAAGCGGAGGTGGTGGGGGAGGAGAATTTCTACACACCTCTGAATCATCCTCTTTCATAGTGAATAATCATCTTAACAATAATAATTATTATTATTATGAATCGAATCCCCTTGCTGTATCATTCGATACGGCCGCCACCGCCACCACAACCACAACCATCTCCTCCTCCTCCTATTTGTCTAATAATCATTCAAATTATACACCCCCTCCTCCCCCGCCTCCTTCTACTACTACTACTACACCTGTTGTGGCTAAAAGTTTATCATTATCATCATCATTATCAGTTGCTGCTTCAACAAATTCAACACTGGCGTATAGTTTGACTACGGACCCATTAGATTTCCCCTTGTCAACATCGTTAGGAGTTGTTAATCATCATTTGGAAACAATGCTACAATCAGATTTCATACATCATGATCAACAACAACAACAACAACAGGAAGAGAATTTATTACCAGATGATCTGATCAATGATGTATTTGATCGTGAGTTTTTATGATTCCGCTTCTTTCTGTGTATTTTTCATTGATCCCTATTATCATGATGTGATGTTGTTAGATGTTGTGAAACTAAAACCGCTTAAGATGATAATAATGATGATAATCATAATAATAACTAACTGTGCTGCTACTAGTTGGCGATAAATCAATAGAGTTAATGTTTTTCAACTGAAGTTTGTGTCTTATGACTCTCATCTCAATTAGACTAGTGGTGGTCGATATACTATCGTTAAAATATTGACTGACGGACTGACTGACTGGTTTCAACATAGAACTTTGCACCGATGTGCACCAGTTCGAGTTGCTACACTCCATGTAGCACGCGAAACAAGAGAAGAAAATAAAAAGAAACGCAAAGTAGAGACGGTAAACAGAGATATGAGGCAAAAAGAATAGTAATATGAAACAACTATATAGTTTTATAAGATATTATAAGTCACAAGGAGTGGATGCATCTGCGCCAGCCATTGAGAACAATGATTTTGAGCTAGCCATATCACCGATTGTCTCCAGCCGTCATTGGTTTTTACCTTCCGGAGGACCCCAACCAGTCAGCCAGCCACTCTACACCTCCCTACGTGGCTCGCTTAAACTAACCGTCGTGGATTTCATTGACTGACAAAGCCATGTTTTGGTTTGACCACCACAAACAGTTCTTTTCCAACCTGATCAATACTGTGTCAGTCAACTAACATTGCCCGTTGTCGAGGAAGGTGATCGATGGCTAGGCACACATGCGTAACACATGTCCTAACGGTTTCAATTGATGCAGCTGCTTCACAACCTCGTCGATCGATTTCCCCTCCGTACCTAACACTCGATTGAGGCCTAACCTCAATATTGCCCGCCCTATTACACCGACCACCTAACAGGGGAGATAGAAAAAAGACATCTAGTCAGCCTTTTGACGTCTGCCACTTTCGATGGACATATCTCACAGTCATAAAGAAGGACAAAGTGAACTGCTGTTGTGTAGTATACATGTCTTTTGATCGACTAGCCATATATCATATCTACGTCAGAGATGACATCAGTTGACGAATGTCACACAAGACTTTTGTTTTGAGATTTCATCAACGATCAGACTGTCGAGACTGATGCAACTTCCCAAATAAGTAAAATGGTCTACACCACTTCACTCCCTATTTTTAAGCCAAGAGTAAGACGATGTAGTCCAATCCTGTAGCATTATCTTACGTATGACTCGAGTAAATCGCATGCGAAAGAGTAGAAGACTGCTGCTCAAGGTGTTGATCAAAAGACTCTGTTCTATTTTATCAACGTCTTCACCTAGAAGGGACTATATCATCTGAATATTCTGAGTCAACAACATTATTCTCTAGTAGCAAGTGGACCCTGAGTTGCTGAAGTCAATTAGCGTTAATTCCATTAGTATATCTGTGGTGAAATTAGAGAGAAAAGGAGTCAGTGGGCATCCCTGACGGACACCACTGGTTGTCATCACTTCAGTAGTGTACTGCAAAACATTGCCATTGTACCTTTCGTTCGATGGAGTCGTATTCCATCTTCAGGTAAAAAAATTTAGCAATTGTTGGACGCCAGTAAATATACCTATGCCTTCATGATCTAAAGCCTGTCTGATTTTCTTGTTTGCTTCTCTCGAGCACTACCTAATCTACGCGTGATTATTGAGGCTAAGACTTCAGATACTACATTGGTCAAGCTAATCCCCTTGGGATTATCACAGGGAGACTTGTTTCCTTTCTTGCATACTGGGATCATGAATGACTTAAACCAGCCCAGCGGGACTGTCTCTGATTCCCAGACGTTACATACACCTTAGTTAACCCTGACAGCAATATGTGAATAGATAGATACACTCTGATGATGAGGCCACAAGTGGTAGCTCATCTGTCATTGGGGTAAAAGTTTGTCAGTACATTGTTCAGAAATGATGGTGTCATCTGCACAAACCACCATTGTTCTTGCTTTATTCAAATGCATAAAGGGAAATAAATATCTGAAGTGTGATTTAATTTCTTTTCATCACTTTTATTAGCTGATGCATTTATTTGTATGTGGAACTCTATAGTGTGTATCCAATACTCTCTGGTTATCTTAAATTAAAACACTAACGTGGTGCAATATGAGTACTGAGATATGTGCTTCATCTCTGTGTGTAAGAGCCGAGATATTGCCTGGATACCTAGACCAGATACCACCTAAGCAGGTGTTCGTTGTAAGATACCATTTCTTGAGGCGTTGACTTGAAGTCTAATCCGTAAACACAATGAAGCAGTGCCCATTGAGCTGCATTCCCAGTGTCCAAAACACGTTCATTATGTAACATAGGTTTGAATACATGAGTTTACAGCTTCTCTAAATAAATACCTGCTGTCTCACTAGTCTATTCAGTTTGTTTTAGACGCTTGATGTTCGTAATCACCCTTTCACTTTTTTGTTTTTGAGAAACCCCTCCTCCTAGCCGCTTGAAGGTGGTGAAAATAAGACTTACCTGACCAAAGCTATGGATCTTTAGACTTACATGAGATCATATTGAGAGGAAAATTCACTGTCAATTGTACGAATTCATATATACGAAGCCAAGCCATCTAGTATAGTTACTTATATGTTGTGAGGGATAAGAAACAGGCATTGTATCTGTGAATCCCTCTCCCCATACATTGATTGTCGGATATTTTGTGAAGTTCAACTTAAAGCACCAGTAAGTACCAATGGACAAATGCCTTCGAATGCTCTCACTCAGCCTCAGTATAAACAACAAGATTCGGATTTAGTTAGTCAATCAGTCAGTTCTTCTATACGGGTCAGAAAATTGACCAGCGCGTCACGAAAAGGATTCCCAACAGGTCACTGTAGACTTTTATCAACAGCTGCCACCTTCACTGTCTGGCCCCATACTGGAGATCAAATGACCGGCTGACCAGAAAGAATTAGTAACAATAAACTCTATAGTGGAACAAAGCAATCAAGATCCGATTGCTCAACAAATATGTAGGAGAAAATGCAGATGGATTGTCTACACTCTGAGGAGGCTGTCGAATAGCATCACGCTCCAAGCCATCACTCGAGTGTAAACGGAATGCGAAACCATGAGTGGGTATTACGAGAGAGACAGAAAGAGAGAGGGGGAGGGAGAGAGAATAACTACACTTACAACCGAATCATCTAGTTTCAAATCTTAACTTCACTTCCTTTTACTCATGAAGTAAAAAACCCCTCCGGAATACACCTTATCGTACAGTACATTTAACAGTGAAGTTAAACCTTTTTAAACACCAAAATGTAGTAGTGGACAAATACCCTCAAATGCGCTAACCACATGATAAAGGCGATTTCTGCGTATTTTTTTTCCTTCACGTTCCCAGTGGAACATAGGGCTTCAAGTTAGAGGCTTGAAGTTTCTGTAACAGTGTTTACTTTTACAGGATGAGGTTGCCAGCCTCATGCCCAACCTTTCCTATGTACCGGCTTTTTTATTACTGGTTTGGCGAGGTAAAGGAGTGCGTCGGTCGGGGATCGAACCCCGGACCATGTGCATGGTCGACGAGCGTCCTAAACACTGTGCCACTGACGCACCCGATATTTGCGTATAAAGTACATATATTCATCAAAATAATGAATAGAAAGCGGCATGAAACTGTTACACAGGATACCTTTGTCTGATGTGTCACAGAAATGCCTACTCCTAGTTTTGCACAGGAGTGTTCCAATAGAATAATTAAACCATATTCTAAACATGTATACATCTAGATCTTGAAAACCTCAGTCTAATGCTAACGCCATCGCCAAACAATTCCTAAATTAACTTTGATCTGAGTCGAACCAATCAATATGTCTCTCTTATAAGAGGTTAACCTAAACTCTTCACTTAATCTCTCCGAAAGCCCAACCTGAAGCTTATCGGATATCTCATTTAATGTCATGACACTTCATTAAGCATATTTTGTTCATGATTCTAGTATTATTCGATTGATGTCACTGACTTGCTTACTGAGCTTTTGAAGGTCATTGGCGTGGTCTGATTTCAATGGTATTCACTAGTACTTAAAATTGGTTCGACGTTTGCTTTTCAATTAACTTCTATAATAATTTATGCCATAATTTTAATCTTTTTGTTTTTTTCTCTTGTTTTCTTCTTATTTCTCTGTTGAAACCTTTCGTCGCGTTGGTGCGTGTCCAGTTGAAATTATGATTGCAGCTAAACATCAACAACAACATCAACGACACCACCACGATCAGCAGCAACAGCAACAAAATCAAACTCCTTTCACTTCATCAAGTGATGAATTCGATTTTTTAACTAATGCCACATTAGAAGAAGGTGACAATAGACATCTGCATCATCATTGTCATTCACCAAGTCTAATCACAACCACGACCACCATCAACAGCAACAGCAACAACACATTCAAGGTGTCATTATCCCCTGATACTACAACTAGTAGTAGTACTGCTGCTCCTACCACTGGAACACTGTCGAATTCTCTGTGTACTGTAACAAGATGATGACGGCGATGATTGTGGTGATGATGATGAGTTGCTATGCTTCATAATTTGTATCACTTACTTAATGATGAATGCATTGTCGTCTCCATTCTCTCTCCTCCTTTGTCTCTATTGTTATCTACTTTTTGGTTGATATTTCAAAATAATCAATTATTATTATTCTTATTATTATCATTATTTTTTTATTTGTATGCATTAATTTTCATTAAATTATTCTATATAAAGAAACTGTTGTCATTCAGTTATCATTATTATTATTATTAATGTTAATATTTAATTGTTTAATATTTATTGTAGAATAAAGTTACACAATATTGACAACATACACACACACTTACATGCACGCACAGACACACACACATGCATATATATATGCTACACTTTGGTGAAGCGGTTGGTATCATTTCCAAGAAATATACTTCTTCTCTTGTTCTTCTCACGCTCCCATCCATGCATCTCCCGCCTCCTAGCCTATCGCTTCACTCTTTTCCTCTCCTTCAGTCTACAAATAAACAAGACTAAATAATAAGCACGGCGACGTTGACAACAACAAGAAGAACAACAACAACAGTAATCAATCCTAATTTATTCTTTTGTTTGCATATATTTTTCTTTGTTTTGTTTTTTTCTGTTTGTCTGAAAGAAAACAAGTTGTTGTTGTTATTGTGATTGTGACTGTTTGTTTGTTTGTTTTTCTCTCTCTCTCTCTCTCTGAACCCTATTTTATTTATAAGAGATAGTGATTTCTATTATTTTAACAGTTTTCCACTCATGATTGATGATAATGACAGAGAAGGACGAAGTAAGTGGGCAGAAAGATGTTTCCGCAACTCTGTTCCTTAAATATCTCCACACTCCTCAACCACGTCTCCTCTTCATTATCTATGTATGCTACTATTACTACCACTACTACTGCTACTACTGCTACGATTACACTTTTCAAAGACGACAACTTAATCGAGATCATTAATAATTAGTAGTGCGAATTATTTGTCTATTCATCAATTGCAGTTTTATTCTGATCGCTGTCAGGTGATGTATTTATTATATATACGCATATATATATATGGCGTCTATTGTTTTTTTATCTATTATTTTACACACTCTTTTATCTTCTTCTGTGTCAGTTGTTTTGTGCGGTTGCTGCAGTCAAGTTGCCTTAAGATATTTTTTAAATCTCTCTCTCTCTTTTTTCTTGTTGTTGTTGTTGTCGTGTGTTCCCCCCTCTCCCTCTCTCTGTCTCCTTCTCTGAGTGTGTGTGAGTGAGTGAGTGCGTGCGTGCGTGCTGGGATGTCTATTTGTCTACGCATACACCGTGCGTGTGTGTGTGTGTGTCTGCGTGTCGGTGTACCATGCGCCCCTCCCTCCTTCTCCTCCTCCTCCTTGTCGCATACACATTACACACACACACACAAGTACACTATCAGGACATATTTTTTACTACTAGTACAACTTCTATTGTCACTATTGTTATTGCTATTGCTATTATTATTATTATTATTACTTCTAATGGTTAATTATTGTACAATTGTATCGTGAACACAGGGGTATATTTTGATAAAAATTTAGACTATTTCATATGATTATTATTATTATTGTTATAACTATTATTTATTACTGTTATCATGATTACTATATTCCTTTTTTTGTTTTGCCTATCAGTGTGTTTTATTTCTTCTCCTCCTTTTTGTTCATTCATAAGTGGGGTATTTTTATTGCTTTTTTATCTAATTCAGTAATCCAGGTGTGTATTGTATTCATTCTCTCTTTCACTGCTCCCTCCACCATCCCATTTCACACACACACACGCACGTGCGCGTATATATACACACATGTGTGAAGTTCCCCCTCCCTCCCCCGTAATCCCTGTGTCTGTTGTCCACCATCACCTACGTCTGTTAATCTCAGTATGCGTTTCTGTGTGTGTATGTGTGCGTGCATGAAGCCGGGGGGGGGGGTTAAGGTTCTGTTGAAAAGTTTCAATTTGACAACCAGGTAGGCCGTTGTATTCTTCTGTATAATTTTTTCGCTTTATTTTCTTTGTTTTACGACTAGTAAAACATTAGCATTAGTAGTAGTAGTAGTAGTTTGAGATGACTACCTTTCAGTGTTTGTGTTGAGCAAGACTTTGTTTTATGATTATTATTATTATTGTTATTATTATTTATTACGCACTTTATACCTACTTATATGCACATATTCTTGGTGCTATTATTATTATTATTACTATTATTAGAATTGTTAGTCCTCTCTTTTGCTTTATCTAACTAACTATAATCCTCCATTACTGGTTGGCTGGCTAGCAGCAGCAGCAGCTGGCCTCGGCGGTGGCGGTTATTCACATTGTGAAAAAAATATAATAATAATTTTCGACTTCAGGTAATTGTAAATTTTAAATCCTTTCTTGTTATTAGCAATTATTATTACTATTGCTATTATTATTATTTGTTTTGCTAAAGTCAACTTTGTTATACTCTACAACAGGTATTAGCAGTTATTACTACGTCTACTGCCATCAACACGATTATTGTCTATTGTTTCCTAATAATTTAAGCAATTTAAGCGTTTTTTATTCTATACATATAATCTAAATGAATTTTGCTATCCCCTATCTCTTACCAATATATAATATAATGATAAGTTTGGTATTCGGTTTCTTTGCCTATTATTATTATTATTATTATTATTACTGTCGAGAAGAAGTTGTCTCCCCCCTCGTCTCTCTCTCTTTCTCTCTCTCTCTCTCGCATTCTGTGTCTTTTCCATTATTTGCTGTTGTTGCTAATCCCCGGTATATATATAGAGATAAATAGATCGATAGATGTATATTTTTTATTTTCTTCTTCCTCTTCTTCTGCTCAGGTTTAATCAAATTTCTACCTATTTTACTTGTGTGTTACTGTGTGTGTGTGTGCGTGCATCCTTGTACATCCTTCTTTTTTGGTTGCCTTCATTTCTTTATTCTCCACCCTACACACCTACCTAAATCTCTCTGTGTCTCTGTCGCTTGGATCACTTTTGCTGATGCTGATGATGGTGATGATGATGCAGATGCAGATGCAATTCTCTCGTTTTCATATTCTCTTTCCCTCCGATCTCGTCGCTTCATTTCCATTATTGATTTTCTTTCACTCTTGTTATTTTTTTCGTTATATTATAAGTTATTATTGTTATTTTTGCTATTGCTGTAATATAGTTACGTAATTATCTACTACAAGATAGACAATCACCAACTACCGGTATTAACTGTCACGCCGACAACGACGATGACGGCTACAGTGATGATGACCACAACCACCACCACCACCTGCCTATTGTTATCATCATGGTCATTTGCTTCCTTTTCTCCTCCTCACCGTCTACCGCGCTCTTTGTGTGTATATCCTCTTCTTCTTCGTCTTCCTACTCATCTTGTTGTTCTTCTCTCCGTGATTTGTGCATTCACAAGGGGATAGTAGACGTCAAAACGGATTAATTTGATATTCGTAACTAGGTGTGGACATCAATCAATGTAAGGCGTGCAAGTGAAGTGAGAGATGATGATGATATGTACGAGAAAGGTACGATGGAATTTCGTGGTTCTTCACTCACTCACTCATTCTCTTTCTCTCTCTTTCTCTTTGTCCTTTATTTCCCATGATGAAAAAGATTTTATCACACAATTGAAAAACAAACAAACATTATTTTATGTCATTTTGCGTGTGTTTGCGTGAGAGTATCATTTAAAAGTGCGTACATGCATGTGTACTCATACATTAAAACAAAAATATTATTATTATTATTTGCTTATTGATTAAATTGATTGATCTATAATCAAATATCATACACATCCATTTTTATCTATTTTTTCATTGCAATTGTTTGTTTGTCCTTCCTTATATTGACTTACTTGACTTGACTTCTTATCTCATAGATAAATTCGTTGCTCGAACTCGTTATTCATCTATCTCGTCATTCGTGTAGTCCTTGTCACCGCCTGTCCCCCCCCCCCCCACACACACACTCGTTTTCCTCCTATTGACTCTGAATAACTACCGTTGCTTACTTCTACTATTATCGTTATTATCATTATTATTATTATTATTACTACTACTACTACTACTGTACACAGCCATACTTTCATTGTTCACATATTTAATTGATTATAATTCATCAGCTGGATTACTCATCACATGGAGAATACTGTTGTCATAATTATTTTTGTTCTTTAAGACATTATTATTATTTTATTTTATTCAAAGACCAATTATATATCCTTTATTATATTATTCCCTTATCATCGTCACCACCATCATTGTCATTTGTCCTTCCCTGTGTGTGTCTGCGTGTTTGTACAACACTTCAGGACGCGTATTTGACGCCAAGAGCTTTTCTTTTGTTGTTGTTGTTGTGATTATTATTATTTTTCATGTGTTTTTACTGCACACACATCTGTGCGTGTGTGTGTGTGTTTTTATCGCCCAATAGTGTGTTTAATTGCAGGTTACTACTGGCTTGGCTTTCCAGTTATCCTTTACTATCACTACTGATTTCTTGATTCAACTTGTATATTTTTGTTTGTTTGTTTCTTTTCTCTTCTTCTTTCTTTTCTGTTTGAGTAGATTTCTTTGTTATTCTGCGCCATACACCTATATATATATATATATATATATATATATATATCGCTGTGCGTGTTTCGCGCCACTCCTCCCCCCCCGCCATTATCCTCTCGTCCCGTTCTGTCATCCTCGTCTCTTGCTCACTCTTCCTTCTTTGTAGAGAGATGTGCTTGCGTGAGCGTGTGTGTTTGTCTCATTGAGCATTTCATCATTCTATATAATTGGATATTCAAGGAATAAAAAATAATAATATACTACAAATAAAATATGAAATTTATTTGGTGATGATAAATGCGCCTTTTACATCAATTTATTATTATTGTCTATCTATTGTGTGGTATCTATTTTAATTGTAGAGCGCCATCCTCAATCCCCCCCCGTCTCTTCCGCCGCCATCTCGCATCATTTCTTTTCCCTATCTGTCTATCTAATCTATAGCCGTTTCATTCTTTGTTCTATGCTGTGTACAATCTGTTGACGTTGACATCAACTCGTAGATGGATAGAATATTCTTGTTTGTGGATGACACCATCAGATGTGATTGATATTGATTGATTGATTGAATGAATGGCTGACTAACTGATCTGAAAGGGATTGATTATATTTACTGATCACTGTTCTATCACACACACACACACATAGTGATCATCATCATCATCATACGACCCTTTCATAAATATCAACCTGTTCGTTTAACTCCAGGGGGATGTGTGTGTGTGTTTTGAGTTTTTTGTTCTCCTCTGTCTTTACTTCACTTAACCCCTTTTCCTCCTTTGTCTCTGTAGTCCCTTTTTTTTCGCTGTCTTCTTTCTTGTGTTCACCATGTGTATATGTGCACTCCTATTTTTACGGCTTTGCAATATACGTACATATATATATATATATATATATATATATATATACAAGTGTCTGCTCATCACTGTCTCTCGCTCCTTCTGTTTCTGTTACCTAGATCTCCTCTGGCATCTCCTCCTCCTCCTTATTTTGTCTCTATAATTATTATTATTGTTACTATTGATGAAAAATGATAATTATAGTAAATCGACAAAACTCACTCAGTGAATCCGGCTATTTTCGACATTTAATCTCACTATCTCTCTCTCCATCTATCTTTTGTATGTAGATATATGCATATAGTACAAATTATATATATATATATATACACGTTTTACATGAACATATACTTATATATATATATATATATATATATATATATATACATCATTTCCTCGAAAAGAGAATTATACTATTTCAGCCATCATTATTACATCTTTTTTTTCTTTATAAAAATTGTCTAAGATGTTTTTGTGATGACAGACAGCTGAGTATAAAAGGGGTCAGCGATCTTGGTGTAGTAGTAGTAGTAGTAGTGGGTTTGTGAGTATATCCTGTTGAGGAGTTCCGAGCTGGGACGAAACACCTATTCAGTATTACTCCTTGCTGGTTCCCAATGGTCCCTCTCTCTCTGTCTCTCTTGCGTGGGCACGGGCTCTCAAATTGATGTTGGTTAATTTCATGACGAAAATTGAACAACTGTAATGAATTCATAATCCTACAGTATAGTCTAAAAATCAATGATCAGCTGATCGATTGATTGATTGAATAATGGCTAATAGATGGATTTCTTAACACACTGGAGAATGGAAAGTCTCGTAACCAAATGGGATGCACTATTGTCCAGGTGAAGTGGATGCTTATCCAAGGCATTTGGCGTTGTATTTATGAAGTTGAATGTGAATGATCAATGAGATTTGATCTCGTAACCTGATGAGATCGTGGGTGGTGCACATTGTTGAAGAGTTTCAGAGCAGGACGAAACAATTATTAAATGCTTTTTGATTCTCAATCATCTCTAATAATTCGTTTCGGTTTGTGATGATGCTCTACATTGAAATTAATCTAAATCACTAGGGAAAGTCTATCATTGAAGTATCGTGGTTATTATGCAATAGTGTATAGCTGTTGTTTTATAAATTCTAAGGGCCATGAAATCATTTTCATACGTACGGTAATTAACTGGTTTCACGAAGGAGGGAGGATGAGCAATTCGTGTGTGTTTGTGTGCGTCTCTAGAGTCCTTGACTGAATTCTGTCAACCAAGCTTACACTGTAGAGTGTCAATTTAGTCTTACGTGATTCACTCCACTCTAGGAGTAGAGTGTTATTGCAATATCGAAAGGAATGATATTGTTTGAGGAATTACAACCCGTGTCAACCTATAGTGTACTCAAAAACTTCATTCTGTGACCAGGAATATAGCGACTAGAGCTAGAAAAACACTCCCGATAGTCTCTTAAAGCCCAACTACTAGCTTCATATTGGAATATTTGACATCAGACCGCTTTTCCAAATCGGGTAGGAGGCATCACCAGCCAGAACTCTGATATCTCGAGTCATTGACTTATGCTGTGTTTTGGAGAAATGCAAACATGACTTGAGTGTGATTATTCACTTAAGCAACAGTGTGAATTTGAAAAATTCATCTTACGGATGACAGGAGATTCTTCAACCAGTTCGCAAGAACTCGCAGGTGTAAAAATGTCATTGAATGTTAGGGCAGAATACTCACTTCTTGACTGGATTCCAGTAGATAGTCGTATTTGTGCGGTGCGTTCGAACGGATTTGTTATAAGGAAATAGGACTGCGTTACCCATCGATGTCTTTTCATAGTCTCCGCTTACTCTTCAACCGACTGCAGTTCGGAGGAGATAAAGGATGAGTTCTATGTAGTTTGCTGAGAAAAGCAAAAACCTTAGAAATAGTTGTTTTAGCAAGTGACTTCATTGACCAAGTAGGGAAGTTATGTCATCAGTCTGAGAAGCATGTTGGTGGCACTTACGATTTTCCTTGCTGACGAACTGGCAATAGTGGTCATCTCCTACAGTTCTGTTCAGACAGTCACCTGTTCCTACTTAACACTAACTTTAAACACAAGAAGAGACATCGCCTGACCTGGGGACCTCTCAATAAATCAATACTGTACTCATGTAGGGCACATAGCGATAAGTTGTATTTAGCGAGGATCGTAGAAGACTATTCAATCCTTTTGGAACATTTGGGTAGCCTCTAAACACGCCCTGGTCCATGAATTTTATTGCTTGAGGTCGAATGGACATAAGAAACAGATAGCGATGAAGATGTGACGCCTCCTCCCCCAACTTGATCTGGACACTGAGTCCCTATTCCAGGAAGAAACAGCTAAACGCTTGTCTGAGACTGAGAGCTAGACTCATGCTGAGGAAGCCTAGCACAATATCCAGTCAGTTGTAAAGGCTGTTAAATAACCTAAAACCAAAGGTTAGTAAAGGCAAGCGGATTTCTGTTACTTCAGCCGAACTGATAAATGCAAGATGACTGATTCCGGTGAGCTCCGAATATGATGAGGAGTGAAAGATACTCAAACTCCAACTGGCAGAAGTCTTCGTGACAACCGCGAACACATGGTGAGCGACAAAAACGAAGGGAGAAGGAAAAGGCATCGGCGATATGTAACACTAGCCAACTAATTGGACTTAGTAGGGAAACAGGTAGCAAATGATAAGTGAAACAATCTTCGAGAAGAAAGGTGCCCTAATTTGTTCCCAGGATAAACGACTGAAAGGAACATTTTAAGAAGCAGTTTAACTAGCCTAAGGCCAGGCTGAAATTACGGAGCGTCCGACACCCTGAATGGCATGTAGACATCAGTCTTTGATCTGTCTTTGAGGTTACAAAAGTTGTCTCGTTTGAAAAAAGGCAAAGTATTAGGACCTGGGGGAATTAATCCGGAGGTATCTAAGGACGGTGGTCACATATTTCTGTCTGGGCTAACTAAGGTGTATGTAACGTCTGGAAATCAGAGACAGTCCTACTGGAATCGTTTAAGTCATTCATGATCCCAGTATGCAAGAAAGGAAACAAGTCTCCCTGTGATAATCCCAGGGGGATTAGCTTGACCAACGTAGTTTCTGAAATCTTAGGCTCAGTAATCACGCCTAGATAAGGTAGTGCTCGAGAGAAGCAAACAAGAAAATCAGATAGGCTTTAGATCATGAAGGCATAGGTATATTTACCGGCGTCCAACAATTGCCAAATTTTTTTACCTGAAGATGGAATACGACTCCATCGAACGAAAGGTACAATGGCAATGTTCTGCACTATACTGCTGAAGTGACGACAACCACTGGTGTCCGTCAGGGATGCCCATTGACTCCTTTTCTCTCTAATTTCATCACAGATATTCTAATAGAATCAACGCTAATTGATTTGGATGGACAATAAGCTCACCTTGTAATCTGAAGGTAATAGTTTACAGTTTACAATTTATTTAGGATAGTAGGCTATATGCCTGTGTTAATCCTTTCGATTTGTTACACACAGGAGGTCCAATCTCGCCTTGAATGAATCAACGGATGGCGCTGATACGACGTGTTCCGGTAGGGAGTTCCAATGGTTCACAATCCGATGCGAAAAACGGATCTCCAAACACAGACGATTCGACCGTGGTTTTTGAA